TTTTCGAAACGGAAGATGCTGAAACTGCAACAAACATTTTCATGGATATTTTGAATACGGAAATATCAAACTGTACAACTACTCACAAATATAAGGTGAAGAAACGTAAAACATGGATCACAAACGGTCTAATACAATCCATCAATAGACGAGATAATATTTACCAGAAATTGCTCAGAGAACCTGAAAATATAGAATTGAAACATCACTACTGTCGATACAGAAATCAACTGAGAAACCTTTTGAGAATAACAAAGTCGAATTACTACCGAATGAAAGTCAATCAGAATGCACAAAATAGTAAAAATTTATGGACCACTCTGAGTGAGCTGTACCCGCAGAATAATTCAAATAATCAAGAAATTAATGCTATAAATCACAATGGAGACAAAATAACTAACAAGAAATATATTGCTAACATATTTAACGAACATTATATCAAAGTAGGTGAAACTCTCGCAAAGAATATTACCAGAGATCCCAATTACATTCCTCCCGTTCAAAATAATGTATCATCATCTATGTTCTTAGAACCTACCCACGCTGATGAAGTTAGTAGTGTCATTTTAACACTAAAGAATAAAAAATCGCCTGGAATCGACGGAATAAGAACAGAAACAATAAAAATATTGGCACCAGTGATTAAGAAGCCATTGGCTTTTATTTTCAATAAATGCTTCACGCAAGGTCATTTTCCGGGGATCTTCAAAAGCTCCGTAATTAAACCAATTTTCAAAGCTGGGAATAGAGAGGATGTCATAAACTATAGACCGATTTCCCTGATTACAACTGTATCAAAGATTTTTGAAAAATTATTGAAAAATCGTCTGAATAATTATTTGAACAAAAACAATATCATCTCCAACAAGCAGTATGGATTCAAAGAAAGAATATCTACCCAAGATGCTATTATTGAGCTAACCACAAACATGTATAATGCCTTAGATGCAGGTAAACCCTCATTATGTGTATTCATAGATCTCTCAAAGGCCTTCGATACAGTAAGTCACGAATTACTCATCACATGTTTAGGAGAAATCGGTATAAGAGGAGTACCCTTGAAATTGTTCGAAAGTTATTTATCTGGCAGATCACAGTGTGTACAGGTGAGAACAGAAAAAAGTACCTCAGAAATGGTGAAATACGGAGTGCCTCAAGGAACTGTCCTTGGGCCACTTCTTTTCAACATTTACTTGAATGATCTTTTCAAAGTCAATACCAAAGGTAAAATAATTACATATGCAGATGACACAGCGATCTTTTACACACATGAAGACTGGCAGACACTAAAAGTTCTAGTCGAAGAGGATATTCGCCTCATCCATGGCTTTTTCAAGCACCGACTACTGACGATTAACTTCGATAAAACATTTTGTATGCCTATTTATATTGATAAGAGAAATGCTCCCCCCTATAATAACCTTAGTATCGTCAATGACACCACAATAAGTTTGTGTCCCTTCATTAAATATCTGGGGGTAATGATAGATTGTAACCTGAAATGGGACAAACATATCGACTTTATTATAAAAAAATTACAATTCTTGATATACAAACTAAAATTTCTGAAAAATATTCTGGAATATGAGTCAATGAGAACATTATATAAGTCATTAGTTGAACCACATCTTACATACGGAATACTAGCTTGGGGAGGCGTCAGTAAAGTCTATATGGAAAAACTCACGATAATGCAAAAAAGATTGATGAAAATTATATTCGATAAAGATTTCACTTACCCCTCGGATCTATTATTTCATGAATCTGGCATCCTCGATCCAAGACAATTATTCTTCCTACGTGGCAATATCTCTCAACATATTTCAAAATCTAAGCTGAAAACTTCAGATCATCGGTACAACACCAGAAACAAAAATCTCACTTACATAATTCCCCTTATGCGTACATCAAAGGGTCAAAAAAGTTTTTCTTACCTAGGTCCAAAAATTTACCAAATTCTACCAGTTGAAATCAAAGACATTACAAAGGTCCATAAATTCAAACAAAACCTAAAAAAGTTCATTTATTCCATACCAAGAAAAGCAATTCATAGTCTTATTGACTAAGAGACATCAATCTCATGAATATATCTGATTATGCCAAAACACTTTTTTCCCTCACTTCAAATGATATACTCACTGCCCAATATCTTTATTTTTATACACAATTTATTTGTTGTTATCATTATTTTATAACTTTTCCATATATATATATATATTTTAATTATTTTTATTCATATGCTTTTGTATTGTATAATTTATATACACCGCGGACAGCTTATAGCTATGCGGTTCACCCTTTGTTTATTTGTAGGCTATTCCTATTTTTAATGTGAAGTCATTTTTTATATTTGTATGCAAATAAACATTATTATTATTATTATTATTATTATTATTATATTAAATTTTGATGAGAGGTCAAGAGAATCCTTGATATAATAAGGATTTTCAAAATCGTATGCCCTTGTCAGTATATCTGTCAAAAAAGAAGCCAAAAGTTCAAGAGGATTATTATAAGAAGCAATGATAGGTCGAACTGAAAGTGTAGGTTTGTGGATTTTTGGAAGTGCATACAATTTTGGAATTATTCCTGTATAAGAGGTAAGTTTCTTTTTTGTATTTTCGTCTATTTGTTTGGAATTGAGGAGATTTTTTATCAATGCATTACATTTATTTTGAATTTGAAGAGTTGGGTCTTTTCGGACCTTTTCATATGAGTTTTCATTTGCCAGTAGGGTTGAGGACAAGTCAATATATTGATCTTTGTTCATGATTACTGTGACATTTCCTTTGTCAGATCTAGTGACAATCAGGCTTGGATTTTGTTTGAGAAAGCATTTTGTTTTCAAAAATGAGTTATGATAAATTGATGAAGAATGTTTAGAAGAGTGAACATGGTTAGTAATAACATTAGTTGATCGTGCAATGGTAGAATTCTTTATTACAGGATCTGTTATGTTGGAAGTTAGGTAGTCAACGTCTGCTAGAAGATTTTTGATTGGGTAATCTTTTCCTATTTTGGGTTCTATACTGAACTTTGGTCCCAAGGACAGAAACTTCAGTATATCATCCGGAACAGGAATATCTGACAAATTCTTTATCCAACCAGGTTGTGTATTTAATTTATTATTGATTTCATTTTCTTGAAGATGTTTGATTTTTCTGGAATTGATATTCTTTGTTCTGTGGAAAATTTTATTAAAAGATTTTTTTTGGTGTCCTGAGAACTCTGCAAAAACATGTTCATTTGAAAAATTGATGATCTCTCTTTTGAGTACATCTAACTGTTTTTCTAATTTAGGAATCAATCTATGATTTATAAATAAAATTCAATAAAAAATAAATCTCATTTTACTATTTTCAACTTTTACAATTTTAAATTGATCTTTTGTCCACTGTTCTAATGTATTACAAATTACTGATGTGTCTTGTGAATCTACTACTGTTACCATCTTTCAACGACCATTCTCACTGACATTGTAAGTACTTTATTGATAATTTTACAGAGCCTTTTTAAAGAAATTTTCATAAATTGTAGCTCCCTGATGATGACAATATTCATTGTCGAAATATTGGAAATATAATGTTATAAGAGTACTCCTTCGTTTTGCTGCAGTCCCAAATAATTTAAGAGTGTATATATTTATATATATATACAGGGTGTTTCAAAAAAACCTAACCCCCTTGCTGGGGTAGGTAGAACACTGCAAAATAAGTTGGGTTTGCTCAGTGAAGAGTAGTTTTGAACATAACTGTTTTGAGGTTATATTTTTCAATCCAAATATGATATGAACTTGAACATCATTCAATTCTACACCAAAAAAGGTACTTCTGGTGAAACTGGATACTATGTTCCGTTTTCGGAATATTTCGATTTGAAAATAATGGAGTAATAGCTGAAGCTGGTATAAAATGAATTTTATTGAGTTCAATTACCTATTTATTCAGATTCAAGAACAATAAAATTAAACTTGTGCTGAAGTTATTGATGGAACAAAGGATCATGAGTAAAATTAAGAGATATTTGATTTGAAACATGAAATATTGAATCAGTTAGAGTAAATGTTCGAAATGTCCTACGTTTCGAAGAAAAAACGATACTATTTATATTCTTTCGTTAAGAATGTATTATTCTTCTTAACAGTTGAGGATCAGCTGTTGGGTCATTTTAGTGATGTTCAGTTATGTCTTACAGATCTTGACGTGAATTTACCTATGTAGCATAGACTTTCTGCTCAAGATACAATAATACTGTGTAATCCATGTTCTTAGTCAAAACTGTTTCGATGTTATTTTGTTTTTGGTTTACAATAAATAGGTGATAATTTTTCATAATACTCATTCTTATAGATAGCTTTATAATAGAAACAGTTTTCACTTCATCATTTTCAAATCGAAATATTCCGAAAACGGAACATAGAATCGAGTTTTACCAGAAGTACCTTTTTAATGTGGAAATGAATGATGTTCAAGTTCACATCAATTTTGGATTGAAAAATCTAACCTCAAAAAAGTTATGTTCAAAACTACTCGGTACGAACCGTGTAACTAGCGCCCTCTATGAGTGTCAGATATAAAAACGAATTCATGCGATGTGTCAGATTCCAAGAAACATCCATACAAAATTTCACTACAATGTTGGTAGTAGTTTCGACAGAATCTTGAAAAATATGTAAAAAAATCAGTTTTTCAACACCTTGTATCTTGATAACGGATGCTGTTACGAAATTCTTTCACTAAGTAAATCCAACTTATTTTGCAGTGTTCTACCTACCCTAGTAAGGGGGTCAGGTTTTTTCAATTTCGAATTTTTTTCCACGTCCTGTATGATGGATATCAATTTGTCATACACCCAAAAAGAGAAGAACGTAACTAATTTAAAAATTCCTGTATATAGTTTTATTCAATACGCTACTGACTGTGTTGAAGCGCCATGACTTCACCGCCTCTGTTAATTATCACTCTTTAGATATAATAACAAAAAGCGAAAACAATTTCCAGGGGGAGTTGATATCACCAGTAGTTCAATTGTCTGAAGAGTGTTGTTCAGATGGCGTGTTATTCAGAAGAAAACATCGTTATCACGGTTACGATTATCATGTTATTATTCATTGTTGATAAATATGCCTACCAGGATCTACCAACTCTATACGAATATTATACTGAAGGTGGTATCGAGTCAGGTTTGAGTGATAATAAAACATACTTCACACTGAATTCCAAGAATATTACAATCTTAAGTGGCTCCCTCCACTATTTCCGAGTTCCGAAAGTTTACTGGAGAGACAGATTGAGAAAATTACGTGCAGCAGGGTTGAATTCAGTGGAGACGTACATTCCTTGGAATCTACACGAACACCAAAATGGAGTTTTCGACTTTGGAAACGGTGGCAGTGACTTCGAAGAATTCCTAGACGTGGCTCATTTCCTCAATTTGGCTAAAGAAGAAGATTTGTTTGTTATTTTACGACCTGGACCTTATATTTGCGCTGAGTGGGAGTTCGGTGGTTTGCCAAGTTGGCTACTGAGGTACAAAGACATCAAAGTTAGAACATCTGAGAAACAATTTATGAAATTCGCGAGTAGATATCTCGAGAAGCTTTTTGAAATCATTTCACCCCTGCAGTTCACTAAAGGAGGGGCAATCATAGCAGTTCAAGTTGAGAATGAATATGGAAACACAAAATACGGTGATCAACCTGTTGATGTCATTTATCTGGAGCAACTCAAAAACGTATTCCTGCAGAATGGAATAGTAGAACTACTTTTCACTTCTGATACTCCCTCGAACGGATTTTACGGAACAATACCAGGGGTTCTAGCCACAGCCAATTTCCAAAACGACTCCATTCATGAACTGACCGTACTGAAAGCTCACCAACCTCGGAAACCTCTGATGGTCGCTGAATATTGGACTGGGTGGTATGACCATTGGACTGAAAGTCATCATACTAGGTCAGTAGAAGAATTTGGTAGAGTTTTGGATGGAATACTCACATTCGGAGCATCGGTGAATATGTACATGTTTCATGGAGGTACAAACTGGGGATTCTTAAACGGAGCAGATGTAAACGATTTATCGCGTGATAACAAAGGTATAGTTATTTACCTAACAAGTGCGGAAAGTAGTACTTTTCCGCAAGAGTTAGGTACAAAGCTTTTCCTACGAGTGCTTTTGTCCATATTATTTGTAAAAAAAAATGTTTCTAGTAAACAATATTTCATGATGATGCTACAAAATGACACATAAGACAGAATAGTTACATGGATCATTCAGTTAGTCCTAAATGTCCTGATTTTCAACAATACAAAAATCGTGCGGAAGAGTAACTTTTCAGTACGAGTGCGGTAAAGTAACTTTTCCGCACGATATTTTCGTGCCCTGAAAAATGAAAGTGCAATTTGTGTTTGTTGCATGCTGTAATATAGCAGATGCCGCAACATCTTGAAGAACACCGGTTCTTATTCAAATTTGATTGGTTAGTGTTTCCTTCAATTATTTCCGGGGGGAGATCATGAAAGTTTCCTGAGTTGTCAATTTTTAATTGGATTTACGTACACTGAAAAATTACGTTTGAAATGCTTATTTGTTGACTGTTACTACTGTTGCACGCTCGTAGGAACAATCATTTTTAGATTCAATAATTCACTAGAATAGTATATCATACACCTAGTGTGAGAAGTGAGCAATTATAGCACTTTCATGAATTGTTGACGTGTCCATTCGGTTTAAGCCAATCGTCTACTTTGTTTTGTGTGGTGAGGTCATTTTGTTGTAATGTGGCAGTACTGTTGCTTGAGTCGAAGAAAGTAATGTCGTCCGCAAAAAGATGGATTGGATGGCTGAAGGTGATAGAATATGTCATTGACATATATTATGAATAGGAGGGGTCCAAGAACGGAGCCTTGAGGCACTCATATCGTTGCTAGTTTTGTTTCGCAGTTTCTTTAGAAAGTACATATTGGTGTCTATCCTTTAATATGAGACTCAGAAAAGTTATAGGTAGTACCCCTGATACCATAACATTCAAGCTTTTGTAGAAGTACTGAGTGGTTGACACAGTCGAGGGCCTAGGTTAGGTCACATAGAGTGACAGATGTGTTCACCGTTTTCAAAGCCGTCGACTATGTCCTCCACCAGTCTTCTGACAGCTTGTATAGTGGAGTGATTTTTCCGAAAGCCGTATTGATGCTGATGCAATAAAATATTCGTCTCGAAATAACTCAAAAGTCTGTTACTTATGAGAATTTCATAGTCTCAGGACTGACCAGAATATTACAAGTCAACTATATCTTTGCTCGGTATCTCCTACATCAATACTCTCTCATTGGATGATCATGTCGGCTCCATCGCGAAAGCTGCTTCACAAAAACTTGGACTTCTATTGAGTACGAAAGGCTACTTTACACCTCAACAGCTTCTCATGATTGAAAAGCTATTTTCACATATAGGGTACAGCCGTTACCACCGATACAACAAGGCCAGCAGACTCTGACGTAAACAGCTCGTGACGTCACCAAGAGAGGCCAGTGTTTTATTTTATCGCTTGTCGACTAACGCGTCAGTTCGTGTTAATTCATCGGTGATTCACGTATGTTTTTGAAACGGTCCCGAATTCTTTTGTTGTTTATTCATCAAAATAATTGGCGGAAAAATTACTGTTTTGTGAAATGTTTTGTGTTGTGAACGGCGAAATAACGATGCCTTTCAAGTGTTGTGTTCCCTTTTGTCGGGGGAATCATGTGGGTGGTTCAAAAGTTCATGCTTTCAGTTTCCCGTTGGACGAGGAGCTATCGAAAATGTGGGTATATGCAATTCACCGCGAGGATTTTACTCCATCTAAGTTCAGTAGTAAACAGAGCTTAATTTATAATGATGAATCAATAATAGAAGACAATTACTCTCTCATAAAAAGTATGAGTAGAGGAAAAATAGAAAAGCTTTGATTGTGCAGTTAGTTTTGTATTCGTATATTATAGTCAACAAAATCATCTCTGAATTCGAGGAAATTTTCTTGAATGTTCATAATAAACGGGCATTTTTATTTCTCATTCTCAAATTTCTTTCTGAAAACGGTCATTTGCCTCGTGGCAAGGAATGCAGAATTCATTCCAATGATCAAATTGCAACTATCATATTAACATGAACTACAAACACTCTACTTAAAAAGGTAAAACTGCATTCATCATGATATTTATCATGAAGATATTTGACTGAAAAGTTACAAATTTCTCCTTCTTTTTCACATGTCTTCTGGATGGCATTTAGAACAAATTTCCCTTCTTTTTCCATCATATTGGACAATTTATATATAATTCAACTATAAATATGATTTTCTTGAGATTAATCCATATTTAGTGAAAAGAAGGAAGAATATCATTCAAAATAATGGCGTGTGTAATGTCATTCGAAAGCAATCTATTGACATTTGACATCTCGTATTTTGATTGACTATTGATTAAATGGTCGTCATCTGGAATGCTTGTTCACTAAATATGAAAAACTCGTCATAAAAATCATATTTCCTGTTGATGTTTCTATATAAAAATGTGCCATCGAAGTACATCATGAGTATATAAAGTGTCCAATGACAAAATAAGAGCAAGTAGCTTCAAATACAAAGGGAGAAAGAAGGCGAAATTTCGAACTTTTCCTTGAAATATCTCAATAAATAGTGGTTTGTTCACATTTTCATTATGAAATTCGGTTTATCAGACAAAAATACGTGAGTACCAAAAAAAATTTTCAAAAAAAAAAAACCATCGCATGATAGATGCAGTGTTTCAAGTGTAACGATCCACTTGGGTGAAAAATCTAACAACAGAAAATTGAAAACACTCACTGGTTATTTTTTCAGGTAATAGGAATTCTCCAAGATAAATATAGGTAATTGTAACAAACGGCATGTCAATCAAAATAAAATACATTTTCCACAATTTTCTTTCGATCAATCTCACGATAAGTTTATGTTCTGCGGGCCCTGTATAAGTAGGTGTGAAGTTTACCTTCACCACAATTTTTGCCAATATATTTAATTCGAATGGGTTGCTATGGGTGGATATTCGTGTTTTATCCTGGTTTTTGCTTTAAAACTTCGTTTTTCCATAATAAAATCGAATGGGGTGCGAAGAAGGGCTCAGTTGACGACTGGCATCCTTTTTCAACCGGAAGCCCTTCAAAAAACAGCAAAATCGGCTCAATGATGATCTAAAAATGAAATCGAAATACGCGGTCGCCTTATAGCGCTATAAGCGCTTGTCGTTTCGAGCCGCTGGTTAGGCCTCACTAAGTGACGTCACCCATGGAGCATGCAGGCCTTGTTGTATCGGTGGTAACGGTACAGCACGCGAACATATTCTGGTGCTCTTAGATCTCATCCAGAGAAGAACCATTCGCCTTGTGGGTGATGCCACACTCACTATCATTTTGACATCACTGAAACATCGTGAGAAGGTTGGAGGCCTCCCACTTTTCTACAGGTTGTTAACAAATAAGCGGAAAACTGTGGATTCCTCATAAAAAAGGAACGATTCGCTGTTGCGTTCCAATTAACAGTGCTGCTCCTAAAGTGGCGCATGGAGTTAGTAACAAAGCCTACACAGAACACGCAGAAAGATATGATGATGTGGTTGTGAGCATCAGAGAAGAAGTAGGACGGTGTATGTAGGTGGGTGTGGAAAAAAACTACCAGCTGAGCGTGAGAGCGGGCCAGCTGCTTAAGTAGACCTCGATCTCGGGGGTTAACGATGATAGTTAGCAGGCCTGCCACTGCGCATATGGTAGTGAGTACATTACTAGCCTACAAAACACAGCTGAAAAACTCTGAAAAGAGAGCTGATGGGCGGTGCCTGAAAAGGATGTTAGCCAGCTCTCTTGAGCGAACCACATCAGTCATTGAAAACACTTGGGGTTTGCAAAAAGGTCCCATTGGGGACTAGTTGCTGACGTGGAAACGTCCCCCACCAGTACCAGTACCAGTACCAGTACTATCGATGTAGGTACCTAGAAATTTCACTTTATTTGATGATTCAATTGTCTCATCGCCTACTCTTACGTTGAAATCATCAATTTTTTTTTGTAGCTTTGGAGTAGAACTGCATCAAAACTATTTTTCTAGAATTCACTAACAAACAATTCTTTATACACCAGCTTATGAACTCCAAACTTAGCAAATTCAATTTTTCTTGAAGTTCCTCATGGGTAACGGCATCCGCGGCAAGTACAGAACTATATAATCTGTGCTAATATGATTTGGCATATCATTAATGAAAAGGAGAAAGATTAGGGGACCCAATATAGACCCCTGAGGAACCCCTGAGTCCATATCATACGACTGTGATCGACATTCATCAACTTTCACATGTATTTTCCTAGAAGTCAAATACGACTCAAGCCACGAATTGAAAGTACCTCGAAAACCAAGGGTCATTATAAAATCACATAATTTGAATTCTTTCATGTTTTTTTGTAGGTTTCCAACCTGTTATAACAACATATGATTACAATGCTCCATTATCCGAAGCTGGCGACTACACAGATAAATATTACAGAGCCAAAGACATCATAGCCAGACATAATAAAATAAAAATTAAACAACCCGATATGCCCAAATTGACCAGAAGGATTGCATACCCATCCATCAACATTACAGGAGAATTATCATTAGCTGATCTTCTTGATCAAAGTCAAGGTTTCCCAATGAAACATGTGCAACCAATGGAATCATTACCAATTAACAATGGTTCTGGACAAAGTTATGGGTATATTATCTATCGAACATCGAACATTGACATTCCCAGAGATAGCATCTTGAAAATAAAGGGCCGGGTTTGTGACACTGTCTTAGTACTTTTGAACGGCAAACTCAAATCAAAAATTCTGGAATCCAAGGAAGATTTGGAAGGATTTGGTTATTGGAAGAAACGAGATGCAGTTCTGAGTCTGGGAGGTGCGACCGAGAATGCTGTTTTGGAGCTAGTTGTTGAAAATTGGGGGCGGGTCAACTATGGAAAACTGTTTCAATTCAATCAACACAAAGGTCTATGGCAAGGTGATGTTTTACTCAACAATCAGATCTTGGAGTTTGAGAAAGTATTTCCTCTGGAATTTAAGAGGTCATGGAACAGTAAAATAAAAAACTGGGTTTCTCCAAAGTTTTCGAGTGGACCAAAGCTATATAAGGCTATTTTGAAAATAGAACATGAACCTCATGACACTTATATCGACACAAGAGAGTGGAACAAAGGCTTTATCATTGTCAATGGATTTGTGTTGGGACGATATTTGAGACTAGGTTCTCAACAAACACTTTACCTACCTGCGCCTTTTTTGAAAAAGGGATTTAATGATATTTTAGTTTTCGAACATTTTTCACCATCCGAACAACTGCAATTTTCCGAAAATTTAATTTTCACATGAATAGTACGTAGCAATAAATCGATATACGCACGAGAATAAAATTGTTTAACCATTTGCCTCCCTACATGAAGGAACTTTCAATAAGAAAATTCAAACAATCACTGACGGACCTATTACACCGCCATGTATGTCATGAATTTTTCGCTATACCGCTCCCCAAGTAATTGAAAGAATGCTCAGCATCTTCTAGTATTGAGTATAGTTTCAAGTATTATGATATCATGTCCAACAAAATCAATATTCAGTAGATGTAGTAAAAGACTATGAAGTTTCCGAATGTATAGATCTCGATCACCAAAGTAGCATTCCGGGCTCTAGATACAAAAATAACTATCAACGTACTTGTTATAAAATGGAATGATTGTAACCTGGCAACAGTGCGAGAGTGTGAATGTCGAGGGTCTCCGACAATGAACTAGGCGAATGCTGACGCGCCGGCCACAGCGTTGCCGCAACAAACCAGTGCATCTCAAACCATGCTGAGTAAAATCACACAATTTTCGAAAATTTTGAACAGCTTCAAAAACTTTTTTTCGAGGATCGCTCCAATTTTGGAAATACCATGTATAGGCTGTATTCTATATTCTATTGAAAGTTCATACACTTTTTGCTGCACCCTGAAAATTCTCCCTGATGATGAAAATGTCCCTACGAAGGAATGCAACTCAAAACCGCTACGTTTTCTTATGCAAATGATATATCCGTCATATACAGCAGGAAATGGATAGAGAATCGATATCGATACCGATTTTACCTTCTGAGAGGGTCACAAATGAAAGATGTTGAAATTTCGAATCATACTCTGATCCAATTATCATTTTTCTAACTAGGACTACGTTCAAAATTGAATTTTTGAGAGGATTACGGATGAAAATGAAACTATAAATTAAAGTACGATAAATTACTATTTATTTGATACTGGATTCGACAATATTATGAATTACTATATGTACAATAGATTCGACAAATTCAGTATACAGAAGATAAATATTCAACAACGGTTAACACAATGCACACGTATTAAACAATCTCTATAATTTATGATAAATGATCTACCTATTTCATGAAATTATTACTGATGTGGAAATACAGAGATTTTGCTAGAAGAATATATTGGAATTGTTTTTCATAGTATTTTCTGAGGGATAAATAAAAGTGTCTCGAGAAGTCACTACAAAAATTTGTATTTCATAGGCTTGAATAAGCCTTTTTCTAATTTGAATATGTTTTCTGAAATGCTCCTCCTTCGTGTTTGCTACAACCATCGTGAGTCAAAAAAATATTGTGAATTTTGAAAATTGTTATTCACGGATATCTCTAACGGCTCGCAACCGCCTAGAATTAACGAGCTGTTTTATCCATTCCATCCAATTTCTGACTGAAAAAGGGTGTACCTAACCTTAATTCAATGGTAAGATATAGCTTGTACGAAGGGAGTACATTTTAGAACAAATGAAGTTTATAGAGATACGTTTTATGTAAACCCCAGAAATACGCCTACTTGTGATTTTCATTTACTCTTAGTTGGTTATGAATATAATTTCGTATACACTACACTGTTTTACCACCAACTATACCGATTTTTTGAACGCCTCGACACGTGTTTAGCTAACTATGTTAGCATCTTCAGGAGAAGATTGAAACTAAATATCCTATTCTAGTGGGCTGCTTATATACTAAGTATATGTTCACCCAACCGTTCACATGTTAATCTTAATTTTTATATTACTAAACGATATATAGAGGGCTATATGGAATAGGTTCATTATTCTTATTCATTACTCTATTACTATTCTCAAATATCTCTAAGCTTTCAGATGCGTCTAATTTTTTAATATCATTAACTTGCTCAACTAATTTGAGGTTAGTAATATGTGTGTTATGATTGTGATTGAACATATGTTTGGCTTCACAAGATTTATCTAACCTGCCATATTTCAAATGGGCTATGTGTTCTTCGAACATTTTTTTTATATTCTAGTACATAGATTAATTTCATTCCCTCTGAGCAAAGCAAGATTCAATGCTGAAAGAAGTGTTGTTTATAAAGTGGCTGGCGTCAATGTCTATGATATCAAAATAGTAGATAAATTAATACGTAGACATAAATTTAAGTTAACACTTCGAAATTCTACGACTTTTCAAGAAGATAAAAAGAACTCAAGAAGAATTCCAATTCCGTTCAATCCTAAAAGTTTACGAAGGGACTTGATGAGGTTTTCAAAGACTTAAGTTTTGAAAGCGTTCATCAGTCTGGGTCAGAATTAGGCAATTTATCAGGCAATCCGAAAGATGAAGTGGACACACTTGAGAAGTTGGGAATATACGAAATAAGTTGTAATGATTGTGATGAAACATATATAGGCCAAACCAGGCGACCCATAAAAACAAGGTTCAAAGAACACATATCACATTTGAAATATTGCAGGTTCGATGAATCGTGTGTAGCCGAATATATGTTCAATCAAAATCATAACACACATATTACTAACCTCAAATTAGTTGAGCAAGTTGATAATATTAGAAAATCAGACGCATATGAAAGCTTAGTCGAGATATATTAGAATAGTAATAGAGTAATGAATAAGGATAATGGACCTATTCGATATAGCCCTCTATATGGTTTAGTAATATAAAAATTAAGATTAACATGTGAACTCAACCATGACAAATATCAAGTGGACGGTTAGTATTTTTCACGGTTGGGTTAACATGAACCTAGTATATAAGCAGCACACTAGAATAGGATATTTAGTTTTGATCTTCTCCTGAAGATGCTAATATAGTTATCGAAACACCTGTCGAGGCATTTGAAAAATCGGTTTGGGTAGTGGTAAAATAGTGTCGTGTATTATCGTGCAAAAGGTTCCATTCTTCGATATACAGGGTGTCCCAGAATAACGTTCGTATACTCCGGGAGATCGATCTACAGATAAAAATAAGAAAAAATGTTCCTATCAACAGGTGTCCGAAAATGCTACCCAAGGGCGCTACAGCCCTTTGAAGGTTGGTTCCTAAATGCAGTTTTCTTCAATTATCTTTGTTAATTACCATTGATCCTAGAATCATGAAATTTTGCACCAATAGGTGATTCAATCTCATGAATCGTCTGAAGAAATGGAAAAATGAATAAACAGAGAGGTGCGAAACTTGTAACCCGTGCTATAAGTATGTCCCAATTTTTTTTGTCTCACACTGTATCTTCTAGCTAGTACCAGAATATGATTTTCCAAACACTTCTTCATGAAAGAGGTACTCTTGTTGGAATGCCGTAAAACGAACTGTTTTCAAGAAAACTATACACACCTGTTGACACCTGTTGATAGGAAAATTTTTTCTTATTTTTATCTCTAGATCGACCTCCCGGAGTATACGAACGTTATTCTGGGACACCCTGTATAATTCCGAATGGTCAACGAGTAGGTGGAAATATCTCTTGCTGATGTCTAATTAATTTTGTCACCTGATGATTTCGAGACTTTGATTATGTATGATTGATTTATGGCTATCCGTTACACAGAGTGTCTGTTGACTGTGTCGTTCATAACAACGAGAAGTATAGAGCAAACAAGAAAGTTTGCGTTCCTAGATTTCATCATTCAACTTCATCTTTGGTAGAAGTCCATATTGCTCAAAGTGGAGTGAAATGTTCTAGAAGAAGGAAGAAATGCTGGAAGTCATCTAAACAAATTTTAATGGTGTTGTTACACAATCAGAAGGGACATGTTTCGGTCTTATAGAAGACCATCTTCAACCTTATCAAAAGTTTCACAATACAAAAAGATTGATGTGAAAGCATTACATTATTTGTTCTTGACTTACTTGGAGTTGAAAAAGTGTGATGCTGCTAACTGTAAAATTGTTGCAGATGCCCATAGTCGGAAAATCGAGTTTATAAGTATACCTGATTGGGTTTTCTATAAATGTAGGGTAATTGCTGAAGAAATTTGACAACACCATATATCAACACGTTTCACAAAAGGGCTTCCTCGTGCCTTCATGAGAGCGCTATACTGGAAGGAAAATATCGAAAAATTTCAAGGGGCGAACAGCCTGCACGTATTCAAATCTAAAATAATGGGGATATCAAATACTGGGAATAATGTCAAATAATGACGTTGAAAAGACGTTGACATAAGCAGTCAAAGTTAATATCAAGGGACAGAACATGACATTCCGACAATGAGCAAAGGCATGTAACAATACCTTCATCAGCTTTCACAATGAAAAATCCAGGATTTTCATTGCAGTGCAAAAAGGTGGCCTTTTATATTAATCATTGATAAGAACAATGAGCATTATATTATTTTACAATAGGTATCTCTTTCCATTTACGATATTATGTAATCTTGTATTTTTTCCTGTAATAATAATAAAAAGTGACAATATATTTGGTTTTTTAATTCAAAGTGGATTACTACGGTGGAATCAAAAAAATATTTAGACGTGAAATTCACGTCATTATAGTTGGCCTAACGACGTCATTTGACGACGTGAATATGACGTCAGATATATGACGTCATCGGTCTGTGACATTAGGAGGTCATTTTCACGTCATATGGTCGTCATATAGTCACGACATATCTGGTGATTAGTCACCAGATATTGACGTCATTTAGACGTGCTTCTGCGGACTGGATAGTATTTCAAGGTCCCGATTAAGATCAAAACTATGACGTGAATATAGGATATGGTTTGCGAAAGAACTTTTTGTATCATATTCATTTAACGAAGAGGGTGTTCTTGGATTTTTCAATGAACTTTATATGTGCTGTAACTCTGGGTAAAATTTTGTTTACACTTTGTCCAACATATTGAGCATTGCGATTGGGATTCGAGCAAGAAATACAATGAACTCCTGATTCATGATTCAAAGGAATTTTGTATGCCGTATCAACAACATTTTTTGAAATAATATCAACTGTGTAAATTGGCAACAATTTTAAAGCTAGCAGCATCACACTTTCTCAACTCCAAGTAAGTCGAGAACAAATAATGAAATTCTTTCCCATCAATTTCCTTGTATTGTAAAACTTCCAATTATGCTGAAGATGGTCTTTTTTATGACTGAAACATGTCCCTTCTGATTGTGTAACAACACCATTAAAATGTGTGACGAATGACTTCGAGCATTCCTTCCTTCCTTCGATTTAATTTTATAATTAAATTAGTCGAAGCTGATAATAGGTATATCCGTGAAAAACACACTACTCATCAATATAAAACATTGAGTTGAAGTTGAAGGTGAAGCAATAAGAAAAAACTATTCACAGGGCGTGTTTTGTTTATTTATGACAAGTTATGGCCGCGCAATTTTCTCAATTCTGGTTCTCAGACACCCTGTTTACATCGTGCCTGTAGAATTGATTGAAAATCGTGTTTAGAAATCTGATGAAGAGATTTAGGGGGATTTATACAATATTCTCATATATTCGACGATCACTAGCACCATCAATATTTGTTGATTCGAGAAGAATTCTTGAAAAATTATTTCTTGAAGAAAAATTGAGGAGACAAATGGTACTGATCTGAAACTATACCACCTCCTTGGATATCCTTCCACAACGAAAGATCGACAGCTGGTAATGCTTCGCACGGTACAATGGCATTCCTGAGAAAAAAAATTCAAAATTACCTATAAATGACTGAGATACTACACGTAGAAGTGCTTTTTGTCAGAACTCCGACTTATTTAGCGACATCTCTGACTCAATTTTTTTCTAAATCAATTCCATATTTACCTATGCGAAATCCTTTCGAATCCTTTGGGTTGCATTGCCCTCACGTTGTAAGAATTATCACAGAGCAATCTCGAAATACTGGTCTTTCGAATTTCGTTGAGCTGTTTCAGAGTGAAGCCAGTATCACCCTGGTTCTCGAAGAAGAACCTGTCTCCCTTTCTAGTCCTGTAGAACTGTTCGGTGAGGATGCACAAGAATGTCGGTCCAGCCAACGTTCCAGGTACCAGGGTCTCCAATGTGCCGCCGACGGTCAGATCGACGTCTTCCGGACCTTCGTACAAACCCATCAATTTCTCGACATTCTGAAAGAATGAAAATCATGTCATATACAGAGTGTTTAAAAAAAACCTGACCCTCTTGATAGGGTAGGTAGAAAACTGCAAAATAAGTTGGGTTTGCTCAGTGAAAAAATGATTTTTTTACACATTTCTCACGATTACGTCGAAACTACTGGCAAGATTGTGATGGAATTTTGTATGGATGTTTTTTGGAACCTGACACATCGCATGAATTTGTTTTTATATCTGACTCCCATAGAGGGCGCTAGTTACGCGGTTCGAACCGATTAGTTTTCAACAAAACTTTTTTGAGGTAAGATTCTCCAACCCAGAGGACCCCGCACTTTTAGTACGTAAAATGGTTCTTGATGAAATTTTCTGAATTTTCAGTATGTTGTAGAATTCGATGAACTGATTGAACCTGCAGAATCGTAAAGTTCTTTGATGAACAGATTCTGAGATACAGGGCGTTGAAGTTACAAATCGGTATTTTTCATTAAATTATTTTCTCGAAATTCAAAGATGCCAAGTACAATTCTCTCCGCTCATATCATCAACGAACCCCCATATTACTCAACATAATTCAGATGGTTCAGATGATTATAATTGTTTACAGAGTGAAACATATAAACATTTCAGTGATGTCTGAAAATTCAATGTAATAATGAAATATCGAAAAAATAATTTAGGCATGCGATATACTATTCTCATTCCATCATGAATGACAATTCATACATTTCATACAGGGTGATTTGAAAAATTGGTGACACCTAAGACCGATTTATTCATACACATCCTGTATATTCGAGTGAATTGTTAACCTCCCAAGATAGCTGATACCGTATGAACATGATTTCGTTGAGATATATAGGGTGATTATAAGATTTTCGATGATGAAAATGACAAAAAAATCGTGTTTTTTTAAATCACCCTGTTATTCATGATTAACTCGGTGAAATTCCCTAATTATTTTTTAATATATTCATCATTCGCTCCTCAACGCTGTCTTGAAAATTCAGTTTCCTATCATGACGGGTGTCATAGTTATTAATTCAGGAACTTACCATTTGCATGAAGAGTTGTAGAGACTTGTTCACTTACATTCGCATAGTGGCCGATATTTTTCACAAATAGTGAAACGTGAGAATGTGTGGAGACGAAAATAAGTTTAATATTCATATACAGGGTGAACATTAGAAATTCAATAACAATAGCAGATATATGAATTTAATAATATTAATATAATGTACAGATAGTTAGGCGAATTTCGTTGGTATACAAGCTTAGCCAAAATGGAAAACGAACAATACCTAGGAGATGGGAGGATGATTCGGTCTTTCACGGTTCCATTTCTAATAGGGAGTTGAATCCTGGAATCGACAGATTTTTTTCACATTTGTTTTCCACTCAGAATCAGGCGTTTCCATCATTTTCATATTTGCTTGCTATCAGTAATTATTATAATATCATTAAATTCATATTCATATCACATTCCAATGATGATATTCCTGAATTAATAACTATGACACCCGTCATGATAGGAAACTGAATTTTCAAGACAGCGTTGAGGAGCGAATGATGAATATATTAAAAAATAATAAGGGGAATTTCACCGAGTTTATCATGAATAACAGGGTGATTTAAAAAAACACGATTTTTTGTCATTTTCATCATCGAAAATCTTCATGATCACCCTATATATCTCAACGAAATCATGTTCATACGGTATCAGCTATCTTGGGAGGTTAACAATTCACTCGAATATACAGGATGTGTATGAATAAATCGGTTTTAGGTGTCACCAATTTTTCAAATCACCCTGTATGAAATGTATGAATTGTGATTCATGATGGAATGAGCATAGTATATTGCATGCCTAAATTATTTTTTCGATATTTCATTATTACATCGAATTTTCAGACATCACTGAAATGTTTATATGTTTCACTCTGTAAACAATTACATCATCTGAACCATCTGAATCATGTTGAGTAATATGGAGGTTCGTTAATGATATGAGCGAAGAAAATTGTACTTGGCATCTTTGAATTTCGAGAAAATAATTAAATGAAAAATACCGATTTGTAACTTCAACGCCCTGTATCTCAGAATCTGTTCATCAAAGAACTTTACGATTCTGCAGGTTCAATCAGTTCATCGAATTCTACAACATACTGAAAATTCAGGAAATTTCACCGAGAACCATTTTACGTACTAAAAGTGCTGGGTCCTTTGATGTGAACCCAAACATCATTCAATTTCACACCAAAAAGGTACCTACTCTTCATAAAACTCGATACTGTGTTCCGTTTTCGGAATAATTCGATTTGAAAATAATGGAGTAATAAGCTGATGCTCGTATGAAATGAATTTCATTGAGAACAATTACTTGTTTATTCAGATTCAAAAACAATAACATCATTCTTGTGCTGTGGTTATTGATTGAACAAAGGAATTACAAGTAGAAAATTGAGAAATATTCGACTAGAAACATAAAATATTGAATCAGTTGAAGTGTTCAAAATGTCCTCCGTTTCCACGAATACACGATTCGATATTTTTTTTATGAAAGCATTATTTTTCTAAACGGTTGAGGATCGGCTGTAAGGTGTTCAATTCTGACTTGCAACTCCAGACGTGAATTTACCTCTGTAGCATACACTTTTTGCTTGATACAACGAAACAATGTAATCCATGTTTTTAGTAAAATTTGTTTCAATGTTATTCTTGTGAATCATTGTTGAATCAATAAGTTTAGCATTAGAAATGCATTGTTTTTTTTTCGGTTTGCAATGAAAAGGTGATGATTTTTTATAATACTCACTTCAATACATAGCTTTATACCAGAAACAGTTATCACTTCATCATTTTCAAATCGGAATATATCGACAACGGAACACAGTATTCATTTTCACCAAGAGTACCTTTTTGGTGTAAAATTGAATGAAGTTCAAGTTCAAATCAAATTCGGATTGAAAAACCTAACCTCAAATAAGGTATGTTTAAAGCTACTAGGGACGAACCGTGTAACTAGCGCCATCTATGAGAGTTAGATAGAAGAACAAATTCATGCTATGTGTCAGATTTCAAAACACATTCATACAAAATTTCATTACAATGGTGCCATTAGTTCCGATATAATCGAAAAAAATGTGTACAAACAAATTTTTTTTCAACACCTTGTACCTTGAGAACGGATGCAGTTACGACATTTCTTCCTGAGCAAATCCAACTCAATTTGCAGTGTTCTAACCACCATAGCAAGGGGGTCAGGTTTTTTTGACACCCTGTATAGTCAACAGTAATATTCCTGGACCATGGCAAATAGCCGGCTATTATATTATCTACAATTCAATCAAAAATACCCGTTATTTTGATAACTTGATGAATCAGCCTATACAGAGATTAAACACACTGTATAATCTCTGGCCTATATGAACACTAATTATCTGAAATATTCACTGGCCAGTAAACACACTCACGTCGAAATAACGTAGTGAAATTACCACAACGGTCGGTTGAAATAACGTTCAATGGAATCTTTTGATCACGTTGAATCAACGCAAAAATGTCGCTGATATATACTCGTTATTGTTAACCAGTACAAAAATGTATTTTCAACTACTAATTTCAACATAAATATCCGTTCGAAACCGGTGGAAACTGCCCGGTTCTCAACGAAATTTTTCACGGGAAATTAACGTGACCCATCAACGTTTAAACAAGTTGATGAGAAAATAATATATTTCAACGTTCACTTCGGATCAATTTTCAATCGTCGAATTTTTGGTTTTTCGAACGTTCCTTCAACGTCTTAGTCAGATAATTTTTTTATATTTTTGTGTCTTCGATTATTTCACCAACATTCTCATAATTACTATAATTATTATTATACCTTACTAACCCTGCTATGTTGTCTATGTATTACCTTTCCTCAGCTGTTCCACTTTCTTCTCAGTGAGGTGCCCATCTCTACGTATCCCTATTTGAATATGTTCGACTATACTCGTATTTGTACCTAAACTCTTGGTGTGAGCGTCTGCGAAATGTAAACGGATTGAATACACGTTGTCTAATGAGGATTAACTAAAGTTGTTGGAAAATATATATTTAACGTTTTTTCCTTCTTCCAACGATTATCAAATGAAACGTTTGATTAACGTTCATTTCAACAGTTCAATGAACGTTTCGAATAAACGTTAGTTCACCGTGAGAACTCTATCGAATCAATGAAAAGTAGTTTACCATGTGAAATACACGTTTTGAAATGACGGTACGGTTCTTATACTCATGATTCTGAAAATTTGTACAAAAAGTGGAGGGAAAATGGGAAATCCGACTTGAGGATTTTCATCATTGTACAATTTTCGGTTTCTCAGGAGGTGAAGTCATTCTTGTTAATGTCAATAGGACACCTTGTTTTTGAGTTAATCGAATGTTTTCAGAGGAAGAGATAAATGTCAATCGAACATACGCCATTTCCATATGAATTGAAATTTTAAGTGATGTACAGTGATTCAATCTTCTCTCACCATTGGATAGCCCATAAGCTATCACAAATTTCAATTTTCGATAGTTTTGTTTACAAAAATTGACAGTTTCTGCATTTTTTTTCAATATTCAATAGGACACTGTGATTTTTTCAACGAAACATTTGAAAATTGAGATTTGTGATACCTTCTAGCTTTGGCTATCCAAAGGTAACAGATATTCAATGAGAAATCCAAGTCAGTATTAGAAAAAAATGAGGTGATGATGGTTTCTGAAAGACGAAACGTCAGATTTCGAATTTGAAATCGCCATCTTGTAGAGAAGAAGAGGTTTCTATGATGACGATTAATTTGTTCAAATAACTAAAAAATAATGGAGGTCTCAGGAAATTATAATTATTCCGGATATCTCAAAATTTTCGGAATTTTCCATGTTTCAAAACGGAATTTTGTCAAGCATAAAATTGCACAGGTTTGCCAAGATTTAACCGGCACTGCATCTATTACATTTTATGAGATCCCAATGATGAGGCTCTAATTCCAGCCACCCTGTACATAATTGGTAATTTTGAATATCGAGAAGAACGTCCTATTATTCAGTATCTCAAACGTAGGACCATTCGTCTCAAAGTCGATGACTAACCAGTGATTGAATCAGTATTTCCTGATTTGAATGAAATACTGAAACTAACGTCTGATAATCGTTTGAGCATCCGAATATACATGAATAATAATCTGTTTCACATTTATCAGTACACGATCAAATAACGTATCAAGTAACTCAAAAGCTATGAATATGTGAATTCAAAACATTGAAGTTAACAAGGATTTTTTGTTTTAATCAATTAATTTTCTAACGTTATAAACAGGTTATTTCTAGCAATTATTCTACCGTACATTGCGAGTGTATCGTTTTATTGAGATACAATGAAATGTTGTTGCTTGAAAGTATCAACGTCTTATTTCAACGTTCAATAGTGGTTGTAGATAAACAGAAAGTAATGAATTGTTGGGAATGAAACGTCTAAATAACGTGTTTATTTCCTGGTAATTTTCAACCAAATTTCAACGTTGAAGTTTTCAACCACTAACGTTTTTTCCACGATTCCAAACGTTTTTCAACGTTTTATCAACGGGTTTGTGTTCACTGGGTGAGAGCTTTAGCCCTTTGAGCTGTGGGCCCTACCTCTTGTTCTCAACTTAATTCCGAGTACCAACTGAATATGTACAAACTCGTGGTGTTACCTCTGAGCAATGTGATCAAATTCAAGATGTCTAACAAAGTTTTTATCATTATTGTGAGCATAAATTGTATTTATTGAGACAATTAATTTTATGAGCTATATGGAACTGTCATCTCCATGTCATACCAGGTGACAAGATATTGTTTTAGTTCTGATTAAATCTCTTACCTTTTGACTTATAACATCTAGGAAATCTTGGAAGGTATGTGCTTTGGGCAGCCCACAGAATTGTCTGTAGTCATTGTATGAAGCTAAACCGTGGTCTCTATTCCTCTGCACGTCGAAGGACTTCAGATCTGAACCGAATGGTTGTCCAGCTCTGAACAGGAACTGCGTTATCTACAATGAAAGGAAGAACATTTTCAGTTGTTTTGAATTCAGTCATATCAAATCAGTTCAAGAAAAAATTTAGCAGATTGGTGGATTTTTAGATACAGATACCTCAATTTTGTAGATTCATAATAAGTCACACTTTTATGCTCATCTATGATTATTGAATAAGACCCCTCAGATATCTCATGAAGATATGGTCAAATCCCGATAAGTTATACAGGTTGTTTCATTGTAAAACGAGAATATGTCAACAGAGTAGATAGAGAGGTCAATATAATGATTGTATAAAATTCACCATTACTGGAAATTATTGATGCAGCTGCGATTGAGACGTCGGTCCACGATTAACTAATTGCTTAGGAGAAATTAAAAATGGGCTAATGTAAATGTTAATGTGACAATTGTCTTGACTATTTATCTGATTTGGAGAACTTCTCATTAGAAGAAAATGAATCAGAAAACTTCAAAACATTACCTCACTGTCATGGTAAACATCTGATCCCAGCTGAGGTTGAGTGTTGAGGCCTCTTGCGAGTTCATCGAAATTATTTCCTTCTTCCAGAATTTGGGGTCGGTTGAACCAATCACTCAGCCTCAAACTACCGTAACTTGTCCTCTTCTCAGTAACCAAACTGGAAGGAGAAGTAGCTAGTCCATTATAAAGATCAAATACTTTTATGCTTCAAGAAAAAAATCATCCGTAAGTGTAGTCTTCCAAAAGTCCATTGGAGCATGTCCAGCAAAAACACGCTGCGCCCGTTTGGTCCTTCTGAAGTGCAAACGCACCGACTGCACGTGACGGTATACAGGTAAACAGGGTGATAATTGGAGCAAAGAAAGAAAATATACTGAAAATACATGAAAATCCGTTTCAAAAACTTCAAAAAAAAAGGTTATATCTTCCTCTATTATAGGCCCACATAAGTATCACAAGGTAAGTCAAATTGAGAAATTGATCGAAAGGTTTCTTGTTGCCAGAAAGGTAATCCAATTATGACAATATTCTGCAGCAATTTTTTTCGAAATTCAAAACGGCGTTTTGAGACTCATCTTCATTTTATTCATCCATTCATGGTTGGCGGTAACTTACGAAACATGCATGATTTTTTGTCAACATCTCATGCATAATGCATATCCCTCTATGCGTGAGAGCTATCGCAACAATGGAGTATTTGGTGAAAATGCGATTTTTTTACATGTTCTCCATGAAATTCAGTAAGGCATGAAAATAGCAAGAAATAATGGGCAAAAGTTTCGTCAAAAATATAGCACGAATATTCCAATGCCAAAAAGGAATTAAACAAAAGTTAAAAACTGACATTTTGAAATAATATTAAATGAAGAATTAAATGAAGAAATTTTTTATTTCAACAACTTTTTTTTTATTATCAAATCGCAGAGCGCTATCCGCTAATGAGCTATCATCAGTGCTATATCTGCAAGCAATGATCTATACAGTGCTTCTCAAAAGTCCCCTCCTCTACACGAATTCAATAACTTGGACAATTACAAAAACGGCGAATTAGGGAGACTAACAAAAACGTCAAATCATTTGACAACTATTCAGGGGCGGATTTTGAATTTTGGATTTCAATATCAACTGATTCAATTCATCACAGCTTTGTGTTTTTCAAATGCCAAAACTGCCATGAACACAAACAAAATTAGTATCATTGAATAGGTTTTTCAGATATTTTTTGAAGAGGTGTCACTTGCCGTAAAATTTTGAAATTATTGGTCACAATGGCTTTAAGACATCATGTTCGACGATTTCGTCATCTATCATCACCAGTAGGGACGTTTACAACTTTTTATTCATTCATTATTATCATCATTTCAATTTCACTTGTTTATGTATAATCGTTCCTTTTCTTGGGGATTGGTTGGACTCTAGTTATTTTCCAGCTGAATGGAAAAATAACAGACTCGCACGAGGACCGAAAGAAAACTCGACAGCAGAAGAATAATTCGTCTTTTCGAGCAGAAAGCATTTATAGTGAGATAGCAGAATACGATTCTGATGGGCATTCGATTTTTAACAAACGGCATATCTGGCGGGCTATCTTTCCTGGAGATGTAAAGGTTGCTGCAAAATTTTCAGCAAAATTCTTTGCAATGATGAATTATCTTGAGATGTTGTTGCTTCAATGCTCTGTCAACTTTGGAAAGAGGCCAGCGTAGCCTCCTGGTTAAAGCGTCAATGTTCTATCCACGTTGGATTGCCGGTAGGTCGGTTTGATTCCCACCACGACCGCAGAAATCTTTCTGATGGCCTAAGAAAGTGTTTGGGATCACACGTTAAAAGGTATAAGACCTCCGTCATTCCTTGCTTGCACAAATCTCTTGAAGACTTCTGAGGGTTGCTCGTATCTCGGTATGAAACCAACACTTCAACAATGGTTTCAAAGTCAAAATCAGTTTGTGTCGATAATAATAGTCAAAATTTGGTGAGCATTTTTCATGTAAATATTCAATGCCTATCCAACAAATTGAATTCGATAAATCTGTTTACTGACAAGAACAATTTCAATATTTTATGTTTCTCGGAGCATTGGTTAGATGAGATTGCCATTCAAACTATCAATATAACAAATTATAGACTAGCTTCATATTTCTGGAGAGATAACTTGATACATGGGGGTGTTTCAATCTTCGTTAACGAGAAAACCAAGTATAAGAAACTCGATCTTAATGGTTTCTCAAGTGAGGTACATGCCGAATTCTGTGCAATTGAGCTTCTGCCTGAGAACATCATACTGATCTGTCTTTACAGATCTCCAAAAGGAGATATAAACATGTTTCTTGATTTAATGGAAAAAATTATATTACATTGCCTTGCAATTCGACCAAACATCATTATTGCTGGAGACTTCAATTTGGATTTTCGCGGAAAATTATCTGCCTTCACTGACCTCGCTCACTTGTTAGATTCTTCTGGTATCAAAATCACAATCTGGGATCACACTAGAATAACTGCTCACTCAGCAACATGCATTGACAACATTCTAACTAATTTGATTGAAATTGAATATACCACTAAAGTTCTTGATCCTTGCTTATCAGACCATTTAGCACAGTTAATAACTCTAAATACTAATAAACTGACAGATGAGAATCGTCAGGTCACCATGAGGAGGAAAATATCGGAACAAGGCATCATGAATCTCAGAGCTTCCCTTTCTGAGGTTGCTTGGGAGAATATTGGTTTGCAAAATTGGGATTGCTCATCTATTGCAGAATTCTTGATAGACATATACACTTCTTTGATTGAAGAACATTTTCCATTGAGGGAGTGTTCAACTGTCACAAAACCTCCAGTTCGGTGGTTCAACGATGAATTGAGAACGCTAAGAGACACGTTATCTGAAGTGAAATCTATCTGTAACTTTACCAGAGATTTCAGTAACTATAATATTCTGAGAAGGCACTATCAATCGAAATTAACTTATTACAAAAAATTGGCATATGATAACGTCATCAGCGAATCAGAGAACAGGGTTCGTGACAGTTGGAAACTTGTCAATTTTGAAAGGAATAAATCTAAAAAAAAATACACCTGATCACACTATACCAGCAAATTTTTTCAATGATTATTTCTGCACCATCGCAGAAAATCTTATTCAGACAATCGATAAGAATAACGTTGATCCAAATGATTTTTTGAAAGGACTGCTCACACCCTGTTCATCTTTTTATTTAGAGCCAGTTACAAAATATGAAATCATTGATGCTGTACGCAACTTAAAAAATTCAAAGTGTACTGATGTGTATGGGATGAACAGTGAAATATTGAAAAACAGTTTGGATCTGATACTTGATCCACTTGTTACTCTCTTTAATGCATGCATTTCCAAAGGAGAATTTCCTGACGTTTTAAAAGTTACAAAAGTGATACCCATTTTCAAAAAAGGAGATTCTTCAAAAGTAGCAAACTACCGCCCAATATCCATAATTCCCATAATTGCAAAAGTTTTTGAGGTTATACTGAAGCAGAGAATTATAAAATATTTTGAATCGAATAAATTTATTAACTGCTCTCAATTTGGATTCAGGAGTAAATGCAGCACCACACATGCTGTTTTTAAAATTGTAACAGACATAGTCGAAGGTTTGGAAGAGGGCATGGATACTTCTATTACTCTATGCGATCTATCAAGAGCCTTCGACTGTGTCTGCCACGCTACTATATAATTGAGAAACTGCGTTTTTATGGTGTCAGAGGCTTATCTCTCGATCTGATACAGTCACACTTGAGTAATAGAAAACAAGCAGTCTATGTAAATGAGACATGTTCTGATTTTCAGACTATTTCACATGGTGTACCTCAGGGATCCGTCCTTGGCCCGTCACTCTTCATCATTTACGTGAACGACCTCTTTCACTTTATGTCTCCTCATAAATGTGTTGCATACGCCGACGACACAACCTTAATCAACACTTCTACTCATGCAGAAAGTCTCTTAATCACCATGGCCGATTCCTTGGATAGGGCACAAAACTGGTTTAATGCAAACAACCTTAAATTAAATAATGACAAAACCCAAGAACTGGTATTTGCTAATGGAGTTGCGGGCAGGGAAGAGAGTGTCATGCTTCTAGGAATAGTTATCGATGAAAAACTATCGTGGTCATCCCATATTGAGCAGTTATGTCAGAAATTATCCACTTCAATATTTCTGTTGCGCAACATGAAAAATCAACTCTGCGAAAGTACTGTGCGATCCTGTTACTTTTCTTTCTTTCATACACATATAAATTATGGCATACTATTATGGGGAAACTCTGTTCATTCGTGTAAAGTTTTCAAGATACAAAAGAGAGCGATAAGAATTATTGCCGGTGCAGGTTACAGGGATCCATGTCAACAAATTTTCAAACAACTCTCTATTATGCCTGTCCCTTCCCTATTTATCTACTCTACTCTTCTGGAAATTCACAAGAATAAAAGAACTTTGAGTGCCAACTCCGATTTTCATGAGTACCAAACTCGTGGGGCAAACGACTTGAGGCCTCCCCGATATAGGCTCAACAAATCCCGAATGAATTCATTGAATATCGGAATCTATAATTTCCTGCCTCAAGAGTTCAAGATTCTCAATTATAACTGCTTCAAATTGAAACTGAAAAGACACATGCTGTCCCATTGTTTTTACTCTATTGATGAATATCTGAAAACACCCCCACTTCTCGATAATTTGTGTTGATTTCATTTCGAAAAACAACAAAATTTATATTTTAGATTTGTTAGATTCGTGTGAATGTTATATGTATGTTTGTGATAGCTTAGGTGTATATTTTATTTTATTCTGTAACTGTTTTTGAAAAACATTTTGTACTTCCAGTGACTTGCCAAAAACATAAGAATTGTAACTTGGTCAAATAAAATTCTATTCTATTCTATTCTATTCTATGGGGGCATCCGAATGATGGATAGGGACAATTTTAGAACAACAACAAAAATTCGACCCATCTAACAATTTGAATTTCATGTGAGGGTGGTTGTAGGAGACCGTTTGAATTCAATCACCAATATCGATGCTAGATATTTTTCACGTAGTTTTTTTCGTAAATACAAAAATGTGTTGCTTACAAATTGGAGTATTGTACCCTCTTTGCAACGATGAAGAACATCCTGAATTGTCAACGGAAGTTTTCGGCACTGTGAATTGAAGAGGTGAAAGGCTTCTTACCATACAGTATCAGTTCATTTCATATCACTTCGTTTTTCTACTTTACAATCCCAGTTATTTTTTTTGCAGTATCACTTGAATTGCAGAGGTTTATTTTTGAAGGTTGAGTGTTAGAGGAATTCAGTGGACGGAGCCATCTGGGAACTGAATTGAACTACGCTCTTTGCTATTTTAGAGAAGTTGATATCTTTCACTACTTTGTTCACATTTTTATTCAGAAGATTGATGACGATTTCCAGTTTTCCTCATTGTACGAAATTAATTGGTTCATATGGGTTTCATAATTTTGACCCATGAGACAATTTTGAATATATGCGTTCACAAACTGGTTAAATGGATAGCTATTCAATACTCACTCTAGATTTCCAGCGATCAAGGAGTGGAAGAATCTGAATGCAGCGGTAGCATGTTCATTCAAAATGGTGGGATCCACACTTTCTTCGTAGTCATTCACGAAATCTCTGGTTTGATAAAGAATCTGATTCTTCACAGAATTCTCCAGACCAATGAAGATCGGCAACCACTCGTAGTAACTGATGAACTGATGCTGAGCTATGTTAATCTTTCTTGCTTCTTGGAAAATTGTTTCGTCGTCCCAGTGAGGATTCAGTTTGGCCAAAGTATCTGCTAATCTATTGTGTTCTCTCAACAAGACGATTTGGAGGAGTGTGAGCTGGGGGTTTTGGTTGACCCTGGCATCTCCTAAAAAAAAAAGGTTTATCTTCATCATCATCATATAATGGAAATTATACATAAATATGTATACACCGTTCTTTATATCAACATATTCTTACGATAATTATCGGTTTGGTGAGGGAGTGTGATGTCTTTTGAGCCCATGAGATAAGTGATCCATTGTATTCTAAAAAATCTTATTTTTATGTCCCAGTTATACGATTTTTTTAAGAACAGTAGTGGTATGTATATCAGTGCCTGTTGAATTTGATGATCTTTTGGAAGAGTCACGGGTTGGTCTTAGTTAGATGAGAAGAAGGACACAGAAATGACAACTGTTAGTGTTTTTGAATGTTCAGATTCATCAAGCTACACACCTTGCATTGTGACAACAGCATCAAAGTCGTTCGGCTCTTTTTCATCCAAAATTGTTCGAATTTGACAATGAATTTTATAAACGTCAGAATTGAGATACAATTTCATAAACTATTTAGACGAAAGCATGAATGAAATTGTCCTGCTGTGTAATGAATTGTGCGAAATCTGAAGAGAATTTATTTAATTCGTCAAAGGAACCCTAACAACACAGGCATGTCCTATAGGTACGTCCCTTTTTCGTCCCGCGGTAGGGGATGTCCTGCAGTGGTTGTCCAGTGGACATCCCGCCCGGTACATCCCATCCTATTGGTGTCCCTGGAGTATCTGATATCCATTCACATTAGAGTCATTGAATTTCATCAAACTATTGAGTTGATTTTTTTGAAAATGTTTGTTTCAGTTCCGGAAAATGATTGTAATGAAAATAAAAAGGATAAAGTCTCAGAACTTCTTGAGAAATTACCATTTTTCGCAGACAGAAATCGTACATGCATAATGCCCCTCATTTTTAAACACCCAAGAATGATAATAATCATACCCAATTCCTAATAAAGTTATATTTATTCAGGTTTCTGTAGTTAAGACCTGTTTATAAATCTGTTTAGTACATAAATCTTCGGGAGGCATGATAGCCAATGGAGCAAGGGGCGTGCATGATAAGCCAAAGGTCCCGGGTTCAATCCTTTCTCTTTTGTTGAAAGGATGTCCCTGGGATATCCTTGGGACGTCCTAGGGATAACCTTTCATCGTACTTGGTACATCTCAGGGACGTACCAGAAGGACATCTCTTGGATGCCTTTTTTAGCGGCCAGCGGATGTCCCTGGGACATCCCTAGTATGTACGTTGTCCCGACAAAGGACATCCCTGGGATGTACTGGTGTTGTTAGGGAAATATCAACCCCATTCTCTAATGGAAGGAATGCGTATGAAATGGCCTGGATGGGAACTTGATTTGAAGAAAACAAAATTTGTGAGGTACATGCATTAATAGTATATTGTTTTATTAGGATCAAAAGTGACACTTTGTTTCACAAGCGAATTTTGCATTTGCGAGGCGGGTTTAGCGAAGCCGAGCGAGAGCAAAATTTGCGAGTCGAACAAAGTCACTTTTGATCCGAATGAAACATGCTATTTTTTCTGCAACCGAAACAATTAACTCAAATAAACATGTGAAGTAACCACCAATGCCGTGCCATATGTATGCAATGCAACAAATATTGACAAATGATCCATGTGGTGAGAATATTCTACCTGCATTAACAGCAGGTTAGGTTTTCTAGGATGTTCGAATTGTAGTTTCAATATAAATACAACCACAGAGTGACATATTTGTGTATGGACCAGGTGTTCTAATGGCAAATACCGCGCCAGTGCCAGCTATAGGAACAAGACGTGGAAAATGTTAGGTTAGTGAGCATATCAACAATGATAATAGTGATTATTTATTCCTCTTCATACTACACTGTGTTTGACGTGATAATCAAATGAAGCTAGACAATATCGTTGTTTGAGACAAAAAAACGATTGCTTGCCGTGATTATTCAAAAACAAGTTATCCATCCCGAGAATAACGAATGAAATACAGATCAAGCAAGTGATTGAATCTTGAAGGCTCCTCTGATCAAAACAAAAATACTCAACTGAGATGTTTATTATAATTCCAATACTGGCAATACTTAACTATAATAAGGTGTATTAATATCTCCAGCATCAGCATGAAATGCCAAAAATGCCAAAATCGGAAACAAATCAGGTATGCATCTCAACCCAAATAACCAACCGTAACAATATCGTTCATTCTTGATGACGTCCAGTACATCCTTTTTAGTTCCTAGGAGCTAAAGTTCAAGTTTAGCTCCTAGGACCTAAAGTTCCACTTTAGCTCCTAGGAACTAAATATGTTGCCTAGCAACATAACTACTTTTGTGACAGTAATAGAAACGTCAATTTAAGAGCTAATTTTGGTATCAAAATGGACGACTTTTGTGTCGGTTGCAGAAAAAAATCATTTTTTATAACAGCAGATTGGAATAAAACTATATTCTCGAACAGAAGATTTTAAAATCAGTTTGAGAGAATCTGCTGTTCCATTCATTTACAAAACAGACTATTTGAGAAGAGAATCCATTATTATCATCACACGAAATGTAAAACAAACCTATCATGGAGAAAGAGGAACGCTATAAATTGAAGTGGGTATTTCCATTTTTCATCTACTGCTATGATTGATTTGACAGGAAATCTAACCTCAGAAATCGTATCTGACAATCAGGTGCTACTAGGGAAATCGAAAAGACAAAGAGCAGAATATATGTCTTATTCTTTCATTCACTCAAACCATTGTAATATAGAAAATAGAAAAGGACAGAAGTTCAGCTGTGTCCGAACTCTTATCTACTAATACCATCCAGTGATTCTAATCTTTGGTGCATAGGTAGCTAAAACAGGACCGACATATTCAATGAGTTTTTTTCCATTTTTTATCATCAGTTGAGCCATATTATGAATGGTGGTGGATAATGATTGACAGTGAAGCGGTCATCTCTGTCGAAACAAAGCGTTAAAATATCGATGGAAACAGTTGCACAGAATCAATCCAACTTTGCCTACCCACATTAAATTTTTTCTGATGTCAGTATAGTAAAATGCATAATTCAGCTCTGAAAATTCATTATCATTGAATGGGGTTGAACAATTATCCATCACAAACTGGAAACTGAGGGAGGGCAAAGTATGGCACTTTAACGGTATACTGAATGGACTCGTTCAATAAAAAGCATGTCAGATTTTGCCTATGCTTAACGTACACCATACTGAAAATATTTTTGAATTTGAGCGAATCAACGACTCAATGTATGACAGTAAATCGAGCGAGGAAACAATCAGAAAAATTAGTGGCGAAGTAAGAGGAGTAAAGTGAAAGTTTGACAAGGATAGTAATTATACTTTAGGAAAACATACAGTGTATTTCGTATAGGTATACCTGCTAGATAACAAGCCTCTTGAGGGCTCTGAATTGTGCAGATTCCTGAAGCATTCAGAGACCTCGGTGGCCATTCTTGTCCTCCTCTCACATCCACCCTGAGTCGACCTCCTTGGAATTGTCTTACTTGTTGGTTTACTTGATCGTTGTTCCCATATACGATTGAAAGGTCCAGGTAATGATTCACAGCCGTCAACTGAAAAGAAATAATCATTATTTAGGGTTTGTTATCTAGACTATACAGGGTGTCCCAGAATAATGTTCGTATACTCCAGGAGGCTACTATGACAAAGAGTATTCCTATAAACATATGTAGAAAAATACTTCCTGAGCGCTACAGCCATTCGAAGTTATGGTCTTAACTTCAGTTTTCTTAAATTATTTCTGTTACCATTGATCCTCGAATCCAGAAATTTGATATTTACAGTAGAGGAGGCAAAGAGGCTAAATAGAGATTTGCTCGAGCGTCGTGGGGACCTATCAGATCATGAAGATTATATGTTGAAAAGAAAATAATGTGATATGAGGTATAACTTATCATTGGTGAGAAAAGCGTGTACTGGTATTCGAAAATGTAAAAAAACAGTCCCAAGAAATTACTCCAGCGCTTCAGATATTGATAGTGCTATAATCGATCGCCGTGTTTTTAATAACCAAAAAATGAAGTATAGTGTTGCACTGGCTTGAAAGGCCTCAATTATTGTTAAACATTCAAAAATAAATGATTTATTAGATGTTTGGTCGATCAAGGACCATGAAGTTTGAATCCAAACATCTCATATACATAAAATGCGCGAAGTATGTACTTTGCGCATCGTTTTACTTCGCGCACTGCTCCGCACATGGTGTCATGGTAATGTAGGCAACTGAAAATAAGTCCCTTCCCAAATTGTTATCAATGCGCGGAGATAGAGAAGAGAGAGAAGAGAGAGAAGAGAGAGAAGAGAGAGAAGAGAGAGAAGAGAGAGAAGAGAGAGAAGAGAGAGAAGAGAGAGAAGAGAGAGAAGAGAGAGAAGAGAGCGAAGAGAGCGAAGAGAGAGAAGAGAGAGAAGAGAGAGAGAAGAGAGAGAAGAGAGAGAAGAGAGAGAAGAGAGAGAAGAGAGGAGAAGAGAGAGAAGAGAGAGAAGAGAGAGAAGAGAGAGAAGAGAGAGAAGAGAGAGAAGAGAGAGAAGAGAGAGAAGAGAGAGAAGAGAGAGAAGAGAGAGAAGAGAAGAGGAGAGAGAGAGAAGAGAGAGAAGAGAGAGAAGAGAGAGAAGAGAGAAGAGAGAGAAGAGAGAGAAGAAAAAGAAAAGAGCAAGTTGCTCGAGAAATCCAATCCTAGACTTTGTGTGTGAAAATGATATTCCTAGTAAATGAGATATATCGATTGATGACGGACAGATAAAGTGGATATCTTCGGAATTCTTTCAGAATGGAGTTGTAACATTGTTTTCAAAATGTAAAGATGATTGAAGAATCGAAAATTGTATTTGTCAGTACATGAACAACCATATAAGGGTGTTGGTTTTGTTAGCCATATCTCAAATTCTAATATTTCCACATTAAAAATCTGAAAATGTTAGCTGGACTTCAAATTATTTGAATTATCCATTTGGAGGAGTGTTGAATAATACGACTTTTGATATAGATACTTCACTGATATACAGGATAGGGTGTTTCAAAACTTATCCGTCATACAGCAGTATGTGATAATGGAGATCAGAATGAGAAGGTTGAGTCAATGTTACTGTTGGAAAATGTTGGGGAGATAATGAAAAATTTGATTCATCAAGAGCGAAGTATAGGTAGCATGGTCATTCTACCATTCTGCCTTAAAGACGTAGGGGTCTGTACTATAGATGGCAGCATCATACAGTGTGTGTCGCCATCTTCGTGGTCATACCTTATAACTACGCCACTAGATGACGATAACATAACTACATCATCATGTAATATCCTGCGTCTTCAAAATGGGTGATTTACTTGTTGCAGCATGAGCCGTAGGCAAATACTGCAATCATTCGAGTGGGAAATTAGAGTCATAGTGATATCAGATACGGAAATAAAATTGATGACATAGTACCTAACTGATGTATCGAAAACAGTAAAACAAGAGCAATTTTGTGTTATAGTCGTAGAAAAAAAAATTATATGTTATTTTTCATTGAACAATGATTCATCCCTCCTCCCAAGAAATATCAACGCCTGATTCTTGATTGGATACAAATCTGAAATGGGATAAACACGTCAAACATGTTATTAAGAAAGTTAGATTTCTAATATTCAAATTTAAAGTTTTAAGAAAGATTCTCAATCCTGAAATGCTACACACAGTCTATATCTCACTTGTCCAGCCGCATTTGAAGTATGGTATAGTAGCATGGGGTGATGTTGGTTAAACGACGACTCTGACCAATCTTGAAATTATTATTATATTGAAATATCATCAAAGTCATGTATGAAAAGGATTTCACCTATCCATCCGACAATCTATTTCAGGAAAGCTCTATAATGGACATACGGCAGCTATACTATTATTTTACAAACATCTACCAACATGAAAATAAACATCAACTTGAAAATTACGATCATGATTACAACACAATAAGGAACAAAAATAAAACATACGTACTGAAAAAGACAAAAAAAGCGACTGGCCAAAAATGTTACACTTATCAAGTCCCTAAACTATACACTACCACACTATATCAAAACTGAAAAAACAATAAAAAACTTCAAAAATCAACTGAAAAGTTTTATTTTTGAAAACTCTAGATACATGATTCACAGAATAATAGAATGAATGAAAATATAATACATACACTGTCCTGGTTGGTAATACTTATTACACCTACTTATTATTGCGCTTCAGTAAAAGATCGACTGAATTTGCATATACCCGGGTGACCCGGAACCAATTTACCCCCCTGTATCTTCGTTGTTATTTTGTATGGATGTTTCAAATTCGGTACTTTGATTCGATGTTATGAATGTACAATTTAGCAAGTATCAATCCAAATATGTCACTTCCGGTTTGACCGGAAGCGCATCCAATTTTTATATTTCGAATAGGAAGTATTATTATTTTTTTGAAAATTACAATTTGGTATAGAATTACCTTCACAATGACATATCACAATCACACTTTCAATTCACAATCTGCTGGTATAATTGACATTTTATAAAAAAAATACTTTTTGTGTTCCCCTCGTAGCGGAACATTTTCATGAAAGTATGCTGTGGAAGATTGAATTATTGTTGCTCAAATGATATTGTTCAATCTTCCACAGCATACTTTCATGAAAATGTTCCGTTACGAGGGGAACACAAAAAGTATTTTTTTAATAAAATGTCAATTATACCAGCAGATTGTGAATTGAAAGTATGATTGTGATATGTCATTGTAAAGGTAATTCTATACCGAATTGTTATTCTCAAAAAAATAATACTTCCTATTCGAAATATAAAAATTGGATGCGCTTCCGGTCAAACCGGAAGTGACATATTTAGATTGATACTTGCTAAATTGTACATTCATAACATCAAATCGAAGTACCGAATTTGAAACATCTATACAAAATAACAACGAAGATACAGGGGGGTAAATTGGTTCCGGGTCAGCCGGTATAATTCACTCCATTTGTTCTAGTCTAATTTACCCCCTCACCTTATTTTGTTTTACCTCAGTTTATATCTATTTCATTAGTCGATTTAATTAGTTCAAATGATTATATTATTTTACGTTAGTTTATCTATTTTATTAGTCGATTCAATTAGTGTAAATGATTATATTATTATTATTATTATTATTATTATTATTATATATCATTGTTGCAGTTGATTCCGTCTTATATTCATGTGTTCATAGATATGTCACGCACAGGTCTAACCTTCAGTGACTTCTTCCTTGGTTTTGTTATTTATCATTACAGATGCATTGTATTATAGAAATTATTGTAAAAATTTATAATGAATGAATAAACTTATTATTATTATTATTATCATTATTATCCTCACCTGTTCTGCTGGTTGAGATCCCCCTACGCATCCCCTGTCACGATCTGTAATCGTTCTCACAAAATTCATACATCTGGCATTCGATTGAGCATGAGATGGATCATTATTCGGTAATACAATCGGATAGCAATGCTCTGGAATATTAGCAAACTGTAGCAATTGGCCATCTGGTGAGCAACATTTAGTCTGGTGTGGCTCTGAAAACAAAATAATTGACCAAGTCAAGAATAGAATAGGATAAAATGAAATAGAATGTTTATTCCACAAATATCATGTTTTTGGCAGGTCAGATACAATTAGTGGATAAAAAACACATCAATAGTAGAAATATAGTATCATATACACATACAATTTTACCGATTGAACAGACTGAAAACAGTGACATATATAGTTCCAACAGTAATTCATGAGAATTTATCGGGGGGCATCTTTGAATATTTGTCAACAGAATGATCACAGTTTCTGAAAAATTGAGCTTCAATTTTGATTCGAAACAATTCAAGTTCAAAACCTTAAGGTCTTGTGACGAAACAATATGAAGTTTGAGTCGAGTGATTTTATCCGGGATCTGTAGGATAACATAGAGGTAAAATGTTATTGTAAGAAATACAAGAGAAACTTAGTGATCATGAAAGAGCCCGAGAGTGATGGTCTAGATATCTGAGAATGGAAAACTCGATTAGTGTTGACAACTTTGTTGGTTAATTGGAATCAACATTGAGATGTTCCTATTGTGGACATTGCTCTGTTAGTTTTGAACCGCTCCGAGATCTCTCATTATCGATTCCAACGAAGGAAACGCTAGCATAAACTTTCACAATATTAGGATCACTTCACCAGGAAGGAAATCTTGGACAGTGACAAGAAGCCAACATGTTTGAAATGTGAAGAGAGAAAAAAGCACGAAGTTTCCACAAATATGTACCTGATGTTTCTTATAAACAATTAATCCATATAATAGTTATTTATAAACCAAGGTAGTTGAGAATATCGAAATGACGAAAATTACCTTGGTAGAAACATCACACTTTACGCTTCGAAATGGAAGAAATAATGGTATGCTTCATATAGCTAGTGGTGGAGAAAACTTTCTTCCTCATCGAAGAGTATTTATGGAAAATGATGGAACTAGACAATTGAATTACTTGCTAGCAAATACAATGAGAAGATCTTGGACAGGAACAAAAATCCAACTTGTTTGAAATGAGAAAAAATGGAAGAGCATGAAGTTTTCATCGATACTTAATGTTTTTTATACAGGGTGTCTCCGATTTGAATGTACATACGATACTGTAGATAGAGGACACTATGATGATTCCAAATCACCCCCTATTGATGTGTCTACCGTCTTTTATAACTGCGATACAGGACGTTATCTTGGTTTTGGCAAAATATTCATCTGGTGATAACTATTGAACCACTTTGTATAATCTATTCGTACTAGGTATAAATATTTGACTCATAAATTACCCATTAAAATTGAATGAAAATCGGGATCAGAATCCACGCCCGTCTTGAGAAAAAACAGAAAACTTCTTTAATTTCAAAAACAACACTCTGTATGGCAAAATTTTGAAGATCTATCTCGATATTTTGAAAGAGCAGGAAAAAATTAAAAGAGTGACCCACTTTTTACGGCGCGCATCCGATTTGACAGATGTTTCATTGTTATTTTTTGAAATGCTAAGCTTTATTTTGATGCATTCTTATTGGAACCTGAATTCAAAATCCGATTTTTTTACATAAAAATGGCAGTCTCCAAAGTTCAACATCATGAGGGTCAAATTAGGTGAACTATCGATGGATTTGATCGTTTGGCAGAATAACTTGTCTATGGTTTTAGACATTTTTGAGGACTCATTTCACTATTTACTACCAATTCATGAGCTGCGGTAATGAAGGCTGTGCAAAAAATTCTGATATTCTGATCTGACACTGCATAATCACTACTGTGATATTATTGGTAACTTTTGACTCGGAATATATTTTGTTGTCAAATTAATCTTGTTTGAGACATATCGATATAGGGTCTAGAATCTCTTGTTTGATAATCGGATTAACATGGTCATGGTCATGACATATTTGTGTTACTAAGTGGGCCGGCCCAATTCAAAGACGACCGGCCGAGTATCGGCTAGCCGAGTCCAAAAAGTAAAAACACACTTTTAGTATTATGGTATTATAGACATGATCTTCCACTTACGTGCTTGGGTACTTCCAGCAATCATACTCATATCGTGCGTGATGATTTGGCCATACTGCATCGCATTCAACGTCCATATTGGGTCTTCTATTTGTACATCAGGATACATGATAAGACTCACCGATCTGGATAGCGGTAGGTCATTTCCACTTCGTGATAAAGTTGGTGTACTAATGCCTGAAATAGTTATTTCAATTGTATAAGTATAAGCGAAAGAGTATTATAGAGAGTTCCATTTGAACATTGGTCTCGGACGTCATTACTGAAAGGTGGATCACCCTGTATTTTTTATTTCCCCTTATAAATCTAGTGAATTGTGATTGAAACATTATCCCATGGACGAAAAGCTGTCTTTTATAGTCGATACTAGGCTCACTTATGCTTTCTCTAGCAGGCGAGACAATAGACAGTGTTTTCCGCCGAGGTGCATGTTACATATTTTTGGTTTTCCTCTACAGAAAATTACTAATTTCGAATGAAGAATCGACTATTTTGAAGGCACTTTTCGTCGGCAGACACTTTGGGTACGTAGCGCGATGCCCAATTCCCACGATGCCCAATTCCCACAATGCCCAATTATCACCATGCCCACCTTTATGTCGACGATTATGAAGATCGCCGAAGAGCGCAACGTTGCCAGGTTATGGGAAAAAATCAGAAAACACAAGATTTCCACCATGCCCACTTTTCATAGATTCACACGATGCCCAATTATCACCATGCTCATCTTCCTTGGATTCCCACCATGCCCAATTTCCATATATTCCCACTATGCCCTATTCCCACCATGCCCATCAGCTCCCTTGGATTCCCACTATCCCCATTTTTATATATTCCCACGATGACCAATTCCCACCATGCCCACTTTCCATACATTCCCACGATGCCAAATTCCCACCATGCCCACTTTTCATACATTCCCAGGATGCCCAATTCCCACCATGCTCACCTTCATCATGGTGTGAATTCGAAGAAGGTGGGCATGGTGGGAATTCGGCCTTGTAGGAATTGGACATCGTGGGAATGTATAAAAAGTGGGCATGTTGGGAATTGGGCATCGTGTGGATGTATGAAATGTGGGCATGGTGGGAATTGGGCATCGTGGGAATATATGGAAAGTGGACATGGTGGGAATCCAAGAGAGGTGGGCATGGTGAGAATTGGACATCGTAGGAATTGGGCATCGTGGGGATCTATGGAATGTGGGCATGTTGGGAATCTTGTGTTTTCTGAATTTTTCTCTCGACCTGGCAACGTTGCGCTCTTCGCCCATCTTCGTAATCGTCGACATGAAGGTGGGCATCGTAGGAATTGGGCATCGTGGGAATTGGGCATCGTGGGAAGTGGGTATCGTGGGATGCTCCCGACACTTTTAGCCTGCACATTATTTTTGTCCGCTGTGGTGTGGACGAATAGTGTCTACACGGAAAAAAAGGATTTGTTGAATCAAGCGAAATTCAATTGATTGAAGAAAATATAAGTGTCATAATATTGTATATAGGCGACGAAATATAATCTTGAAATGTGTAAATCTATATCTTGTTTCAGAGCGAATTTCAAGTTTGAATCAAAAGTAAATAAGTCTTGCATGAACTCTAGATCTCATTCAATCAAGCACATCCATGTATTGTTCATGAAGAGATATTGAATTGGCTCAAACAATCATTTTATTTGATTCAAAATGACAAGATATTGATTCAATCAAATATTTAGTTGATTTAATGAGATATTTGGTTGATTCAATGAAATATTTGGTTAATATAATGAAATATTTAGTTGATTCAATGAAATATCTGGATGTTTCGATGAGATATTTTGTTGATCCAATGAAATATTTCGTTGATTCAAGAGAAACTGTATTTCCATTCGACAAATCATTTTGTTGAACCGAATTCAGAATTGATTCGGGAAATTTTCTGAGATTCTACATCAACAGAATAATCTAAATCTTAAAGAAAACTAGTCGACTCCTATGATAGATTTTCAATATCTACTTCTCTGATGCAAGGCTATGTCGGCTTTTATAAGAATCCTAAGTTCAATTTATCCATCTGATATTTGAAACTCGAAGAATCAGGCTTTACGTCTGTAATGAATTCGAGTCAGGCATAGACGAGGCAAAAAGATCGCCAACTAGTGGCGAAAATTTAACTCGTTGAATGAACGAAATATTTTATTAATATTACATATTTCGTTGCTCTATTCAAGCGAATGATCCGTTCGAAATGAGTTCATTGCTTATTGTGGGTCGGCATAATTTGTTTTTGAGATAACCATATATTTCGTTGATGGAATTGACATTGTACTGTTATTACTGTTGAATCAATTAAACCACATTCTTATTGATTTGAACAAGCTGCTTTCATGATATAATCATGTATCTGTTTGATTCAACAAAAAATTGCTCAGTCCAACAAAAATAATTCTAACATAAATAATTTGTTGATGCAACAAATCCTTTTTTCCGTGTACGGACGAAGAAAGCTTGCCTTTATAAACAGTCAATTTCTCATACGGAAATTGGTACGTTCAACAGTTAGTTGTTTTACTAGGCAGGAAAGTAGTAGATTGGCTGACGTGTGAAACATATATTTTTCTGTCCAAATGTTATGAAACCAATTTTGTGTAATTTTTAGCTTAAACTTATCGAAAATCATTTTGTGTTCACCCAATGTCAGAGACAGTTTTGATCTTCTTCATCTTCTTCTTCTCTGCACAGGTGGGCGGGTGCGTAGACCCCTGCACTCAGGCCTCTTCAGTCGGGCCCATTGTGCGCCCACTTGTCCTGTGAATCAGCTGGGCATGCCGATTTCTTTGACGAAATTCAGCAGCTTACTCAGCTGAGTCACTTTCACAGCCTTTGGGTGCAGTACAATGCTCCCAAAGGCAGCTTTCCTCTGATGCACCAGCGCGGGGCATTCAGTGAGTATGTGTGATGATGTTTCATCATCCTCCAAGCACCATCTGCAGATGGGATCATCTTTGATCCCTATGAGTTCTAGGTGCCTGTTGAGGTGGTTGTGCCAAGTTAAGAACTACCATCTTGAGATCCCTTCTATTAAGTGACAGGATCTCTCTCGTGAGCCTTTTTGGAGGTTCCTTTATATGGAGCTTTGATAGTCTCATTCCTGGTGTCTCCCACCATGTTTCAATGAACTGCCTCAGTAGCATTTCCTTCATGAAGGACATAGCCGTACTATTGGGTATTCCTAATATCGATTCTGATCCAATGGGTGTCGTTCCTGAACCGATCTTGGCTAGTCTGTCTGCCTCCTCGTTCCCCGGGATACCAGAGTGTCCTGGAACCCACATGAGGCTGACTTTCCTAGTTTTTGCCATATTTTCTAAGGCACTTCTACACTCGGACACCAATTTAGTTGTGATCCTATTGGATCTCAATGCCATAATAGCAGCTTTATTGTCCGAGCATATGGTGACTGGTCCACGTCCACTTCTGCCGAAATTTTCTTGGACACACGTCAGAATTGCAAACACTTCGGCCTAGAACACTGAAGGGTATTTGTCAAGAGGTACTGAGATTCCTTTCCCTGTTCCTCCTTCATATACTCCTGCACCAGACCCGCCACCAAACCTTGAGCCATCCGTGAACCAGGTTGATTCGTTGGCAGGAAGCAAGCCTGGTGTATTGCCAGTCCATTCCTCTCTTGTAGGAAAAATGACATGCGGAGCTTTATTGAAATTCAGAACTGGCAGAGTGCTGTCCCTTACCATCAGCAGACTGGGACAGCTTTCTTCGGCCTTGTTCCATATTAGGGAGTGTCCATAGTCTGCCTTTTCGATCCCTTGGTTTGCACCTTTGAGTCTGTAGGCAGTGCGCATGGCTTCATGCTCTACAATCAGATGAAGAGGGGGCAGACCTAGTAGGACCTCATGGGCCCTAGTAGGCGCTGTCCTCATAGCACCTGTCATTCCTAAGCAAGCCAGTCGCTGAGATCATGTCTGATTTTGCTTTTTTTAGTACTGGACCATCATAAGATGGACCCGTGTTGGGCGAATAATTGCCGTGTATATCCAGTGAAGGGTCTTGGGTGATAGGACCCACGTTTTCCCGAAGGCTCTTCTGCATGCCCAGTAGCAGCATATAGCCTTCTTGGTGCGATTACCTATATGCTCATTCCAGGTCAACTTGGAGTCGATTGTGACTCCAGGATATTTCGTTGAGCCTTTGTATTGAAGACACCTTCCTGAGAGAAAAACCTCTGGAAGTGTCCCTATTTTACGTTTCTTGGTGAATAACACCAGATCCGCTTTTTCAGGATTCACTCTAAGCCCACCGGCGGAGCACCACTGTTCCACTTTCCTGAACAGTTTTGATCACCATTTTCATTAAAATTTCTTGGGACTTTGCATAGGAACAAACAGTTTCTGCCTAGGCAGAAAAAGTACACCTTTCCTTTCTGTTGAGTGTCAGAGAAAAGCCAATTTGTCTGCCGTTATTTGTTTTACTAGGCAGTCTGCTATCTACATTTACTACCGTGTAAAACAAATTTTTTCTCCAAATGTTATAAAACCAGTTTGATTGATTTATTGAAAACTCCATCAATTTGTGTTCACTCAATGACAGAGTCAATTTTTATAACCAATTTTATTGAAATTTCTTGAAACGTTCCATAGCAACAAACAGGACACCGTATTAAATTATTTTGATAAAAAGTCATCCCTTGGGGGGGGGGTTCTAGGTCCAATATCCAATTTTCAGGAAAAATGAGAGCAATACATACCTCATGTTGGTTATAAAATATGTGTGCATCATTTGGTAACAATAACAAATTAAAAAAATAAGTATCGAAAAAAAGTAATCAAATCAACATCAGGTTCGCAAACATTGAGATAGGATAAAAACAAAATAATAGAAGATGGGGACATGTTTCGAACCCAAAAGGTGCCCATCATTAGCCAGAAAGAAATCATTCCACGAAGAATCAAGAAACAGTACCTAAGTATATCAAGTAATGAAAAATAGTATTTACGTAATTCCCGTGATATTTCCTATACTCGCATGACTATTTTACCACTATTGAAATTTTTTACCATATTGTTTCGGTTTTTCAGACAGCTCTGGGGGTGGGTCCAGATGCCATGGAGTCCCCCTTAATTACGCCAATGATCGCAGAGTTGAAAAAGAGATATTTTGTGTATTAGTCGTAGATAAAAGATTTTTGCGTCCTATTTCTAAATACTCGGCATAAATCAATTCAAAATGACGCAAATTGAGAATTATTTCTTAGCCATGTATAGTTTTATAGCATGTGGATGATCCAAAATATATCACACGTTCATCTAACTAATGAAATTTTAATCAAATCCTCTTGCCATACTCAATAATTCTCATTGAAATCACTGATATGTACTAATATGGCCATTCATAAAAATCGTTATCGGCCATCTAGACTCTATTTGGACACCCTGTATATGCAGCAATAATTTATTGTTATATAGCCTGTTGTCTAGTTCATATATGTTCCTATAGCTATCATAGGACTCGAGCAATTGAACTCTGACACACTATATTGCCACACCCTGTATATACACCTTGAAAGACCATGTATACCCACTCCGAAATCAAGAAGCCTTCAATATTAACAAACTTCAAGTGATTGCTTTGTAGGTAAACATTGATAATGATATAATAAACTATATCAGGAACAAGAACATATCCTTGACAAACACAAGAATTGAGTCATTCGTTTTGAATAATGAATGGACATGTAAACTAGTGTATATACAGATACAACAAGACATATTATATATTTACTTTAATTACCGTAATGATTCATGATGAAATATAAATGATACAAATAATAATCATAACAGTTATTGCTTTCGAAAATAATTTAACATTGATAGGTAATGACTCGAAGTGTTGCTATTAGACCAGAAAAAAAAAGGTGCGCTATGAATTAATTATAGGATTAGGAAACTATTTTCATAGGTAACCAAAGTAAAAAGTATAGAAAATGGTCCGATTTAATGTTCAATGGCAAATATTTTCTTAAATCGACAGTGTGACCTACTCGACAGAGAGGAATAACCCTCTGAAATTATTATTCATCATCTGATTGTGAAATCTTCATGAATTGGATAGCATAGAGAATTGTGGTAAATTACTTCATGAAAAATTGCAATTGTTTCAACACAGTAGAGGCCAAGTGTGGTATATCGATAAAATCAGCTCTTCAGGAAGAATCTAAAAATACAATGAGATACAGGGTGTTCCATTTGAAAAAATCAAGTAGTACTCTGTAGATTGTTTGTTTCGAGCACCCTGTATTTTCTGATGCAACGGGAAAAAATTTCTGAAAAATCATTTCAGATTATTTTTCAAATTTTTAAATCGGTTCAAAAATGAGTGAGCTAAAAAGGGGGACATTTATGGTGAATCACCCTGTACATAAAGATCTCATCAACCACGCTATCTGTCGAAAAACTCTCTATGAAAACACCTTCATCTATAATACGATGAAGCTTTGAAGTTCTTATTCTTAAGAACTTTCTCTTCCTATCCTCTCTGGGTACGCATGCACGATGTTCAAGAACACAGTAGAGGTTCCTTCTTATGCGATCCAGAAGACAATATAACTGCTCAACTCTCTGAATATCAAGACGGTAATTTTCGAGTCAAAATAGCTTGCAATTACTAGAGCCAATTCTCAATATCTTTTTTTTATAGTTATTTTTATCCAGAACTTCAATAAAACTTTTTTTTCAATATACATATACAGATTGACGAATTATATTGTGATAACTTGAATATCTGAACAAGAAGGAGAGTAATATTTTGAAGAAAATTTTCAATTATTGTTTATGCTTAATTTTCCAGAATATATCATGTCTCGTGATATCTTGAAAATATCCCAAAATCGTTGTTCCGTTATGAATTATAAATAACCACCAACAAAAAAGTATATCCTAATAATGTCGCCTGAAGAATTTGCAGACTTAGGGCTATCCACTTTTTGACAAAAATTTGCCTGATGGTCATTTAGAAGTTTTGACTCCATCAACAAGAAATCTGAATATTTCAAATGTTTCCACATTTTCGAAGTATAAGCTCATTGAGTACCATATTGAGCAATTTCAGTTTCAGAATATTGCTCAATGGGTTCCAAATCAGGCAGATGTCGCAAGTTGAAATCGCACACACTGTATACCCTAATAACACACCTATGTCCCATGGACATCCTTAGGACGTCCTGTCGGGACATTCAGGACGTCCGTGCTATTCCTAGGACATTTGAAATGATGTACCAGCTGGGACATTCCGTGGACGTCCTTGGTTCGGGACATTCGGAAGTGAATTGTACCAAATAGGGACGCCCCTAGGACGTTGTGTGCTATTAGGGTAGTATTCTGGAAATGTGAAACCAAAACGTTTTGAGACAAGTCTAATAACCAATTTGAATTCGTATGTTCCGAAGGAAAACAGTCACAAATGAAGCAAATAAAAACCACGGATAAATACAAATGATACAAATAAAAATCACGGATAAATACCGTATTAGATGAAACAATAACTCACCATCTCCATAATTTGCTGGCAATAATCTGGCATATCTAGTGTTCGGAGTTCCCAAGACAGGGTTTCTCAAATTATTACAGGACCCATCGTAAGATCTGTATTTGGAGTTTGGACATGTTGCTGGTGGAGTTCCACATCCTAAAGTGGAACTATCTTGAGCAATGGCGGGGGCAGCACCAAAGCTGCCTAAGTTATTGCCAAAGTAACTGCTGCCCCTACAAAAGTAGAAAAACATTGTTATAGAAAATATACACTTGCGAATTATGGTGCCACCATAGTTAACATCAAGAGATTGAAAAAATGTGTTTCTAATTCCTTTGTTAGATACCATTGATTTTCACCTGAATAATTGTTGATTCATGCTTGGGATATCAACACCTTGTAGAGTTAATGAAGAACAATAACAACCTATATGATTCTCGCCATGATTGCAAGCTGTCTATGTCTCATCTACTCTTGACATTTTACTTTTAGTTCCACTTCATCATCGTTTTTTTGAAGAAAATTTGCAAGCAGATTGCAGTCTTGCATTTTTGGCTCCGATGGCAAGATAATTTTTCTCATCCAATTGAGCTTTGCTTTGTAGCATACCGGGTGTCAACGAATCTATCACAGAAGTCATATCTCTAGAATAACAGGTATATCGAGATGAGATTTGGTTTAGATAAATGGAATGTAAGGAAGAGAGTTCCTGCATATTCTCCACTTTCCGGTCACTTTCGGTTTCATAGGAGATGGCAACGGTTCGGATTTTTAAATGGAACGCCATATATATTGTGACATTTTTTAAATCTGTGACAATTCTAGTTGATCAGAATGTGATGCTCTTTGAACATTTTACGCCTGCATTCCACTTCAAATATTGCATCTAGGTGGCCATGATAAGGACGTAAACTAATATAAGAACTAAAAAGGAATATTCTCAGATATAATTATGAACATAAAAAAATGGATATAGGGAATTATATATGATATATTTGTCACGTCGAACATTGAGTTATATATGTTGAACATCCAAGAAGAGAGCATGACAAATTATATTATGTGCATACACATATATTTATGTGAAGGAGAATGCAAATTCTCTACTCCAGAATATATTTTTTTCAAATTCTTATCGTGTGTGTTCAATAGATATAATTCAATGTTAGTCGTGGCATATGCCCAGAAAAGTAGTTGTTTTCTGTTGAATATACCGAGCAAGAATTGAATAATTGATATTTTCATCACATAGAGAATGCGAATTCTCAATGTATTTCTTTATATATATATCCATTTTTTTATGTTCATAATTATATCTGAGAATATTCCTTTTCAAAACTTTCACCCAATCAAGGGGCTCGAACTTGATCAATGGAAACTTGATATTTTTATAGACCTTCAATCGCAGATTTGTGATTAGGTTTTCTGAATTCAGAATTTATTCACACGTCCTGTATGATGAATATCAATCTATCATACCTTCAACAATAATATAAGGATCTCAGGTGATGTCAGAAAACTAAAATCGCAGAGTTTTACTAAGTAGTATGATATACAGGGTGTCCCATTGGAAAGCGTGAAAATTTCAACGATGGGTAGAGCTCATGAAGGCGGTTCTGAATGTATTTGTAGGGTCTCACAAGTTTTATATCCACGAGGATTTTAACCAATTTTGCTCAATTCTTTTTTAGGATATAAGTTACGAACCACCCAGTCTATTCATCTGCAATTTTGTTCGCAATTTCTTCTTCTTCTACCCAAGCGACTAACAATCACGAGAAAAATCCAGGTCTGGAATGAAAATTGATCATGTTTCTAATCCCCAAACAGAACACCCTGTATTTTAAAATTTCCAAAGTCCACTAACATATTCGAAAAGTGCACAAAAAGCTGATTCGAATAGTGTACTTTTCATTTTCCTGCATGCTATTTCACTACAGACTATCGGATTTTGATTTTGAGATTTTATGCATTTGGATAGTTAAAAGTGGAATGTTCTGAGTTCACCCAATGGAATAACAAAAATTATCACGAACCACCCAGTATATTATTCTGTAATTTGGTACACAAGTCCTACTGCTTCTACCCAAGCGACTGACCTATCAGTCAGGATGAAAATCCAGGTCTGGATTAACGAAAATTCATCATATTCTGGGTTCCAAACAAAACACTCAGTATTTTCGAAATCCTCGAATCCGTCTACATATTAGAATAGATCACAAAGAGCTGAATCCATGAATGAACAACAATGGTAGATTTCGGAAAAAAACAACTAATTTCCTGATAATGCCACGCAGAACGTTTCTATTCTATCTATTCATCGACTCGTATAAACGAATACTGATTCGTTCCTGAATGCCAATTGATTTCGATCTAGCCACGCCACGCTAGACACCTACAGCCTGGTTTCGAGCTCTTTGACCCTCATCAGTGCAGGGCAGTCTCCAGCCAGCAGTTCTGAGACCGTCGACTAAGCATAGCCTAGCGGGGCCTGGCTAAATCGAAATCAATAGGCATTCAGGAAAGAATCACTTGTATCAGTATTCGTTTATACGAGTCGATGCATAGATTATGGAAGGATGTCATTCAATGTTGCGCGTGGCATTTGCCAGGAAAGTAGTTGTTCTTCATCAGAAATCTACCATTGTTGTTCATTCCATGAACATTATGTGGAAATGACTTTGAGCTTTTTGTATTTATTCAACATTTCACTCCACGCTGAGCATTGTGGCTATTTCGTAATTTTTTTATCGCTTGGAGCGCACGAAAGGGAATCCCTATAATGTTCATAGTGAAATTCATTGAAGTTGAAGTTCATTGTGAATAGTGAAAGGTCGCCGACCTTTCTACGGTGTTCCAATGATGTCAAAGAGTGAGTGAGTGAGTGAGTGTGGCGTCACCCACCAGGCGAATGGCTATTCTCTGGATGGAATCTAAGAGCATCAGCGTATGTTTTGGTGCTGAACCCCATATGTGGGAACAGTATTCTAGAACAGGCCGTATCTGCGCTTTGTAGGCCATGAGAAGCTGTTGAGGTGTAAAGTAGCTTTTCGCACGGAACAAGAATCCGAGTTTTTGTGAAGCAGCTTTTGCGATAGATCTGACATGATTATCCCATGAAAGAGTGTGGCTGATGGAAATACCGAGCATAGATATGGTGGGCTTGGTGGGGATGGTGGTGCCAGACATTACAATATCGGGCATACTGAGTTCCGCCTTTCTAGAGAAAATACAGGCTTGAGTTTTGGTGGCGTTGAATTCAACTAGGTTGTTGGTTCTCCAGGCTGTGATTTCAGCAAGCCTGCGCTGGAAGAGAACGCAGTATGGAGGGTACTATCATCTGCAAAGCTGTAGATGGGGCAAGTTGTTACTCCCAACAGATCATTGATATGAAGAAGGAATAATGTTGGTGCCAAAATTGATTCTTGCGGAACGCCGTAATTGATGCCAATGGTATCAGCCGATACACCGTCCACCACCACGTGAAGCGATCTGCCTGAAAGGAAACTCGATGAGAGATGGCATAGATGAGGTGGTAAGCCGTATGATGGTAGTTTGTGGAGGAGTCCTTCGTGTCAAACACGGTCGAATGCTTTCGATATGTCCAACGCGACAGCTAGAGATTCCCCGTAGATATTCGGTGGCGAACGCCGTATTGCCTAATCATTGATGATTCCTGAGCTCTCCAGATATTTGATAAGCTCAATATTGATGGCTTTCTCCATCACTTTGGAGATAACAGGGCAATGGGCCTGTAGTTGTTGGGAAGGTTCTTGTTTCCTTTTTTGGGGATTTGTTGGACTCTAGCTGTCTTCCAGTATGATGGAAAAATACCCAACCTCTACGAGACGATAAACAACTTGCAGAGAATCGGTGTTAATTCTGGTGCACATTTTTTGAGGATAATGGGTGGAATTCCATCAGGACCGTTAGCCTTATTCGTTTTGAGAGCAAGCAAAATTCGTCTGATAGTGCGTTGACGGAAGACGATTTCGGGCATTCGACCATACTGCGTTCTCTTCTGGAATTCCAATTCCTTCACAGGAAACTGAAAAATTACGACGACGGCTGGTCAACGCTGTCAATGAAGGTCTTGCTAATATTACAGCCTGTGGAATCAACAACCCAGTTGAATTCACACGAACCAGAACCTGAGCCTGTATATATTCCCTAGAAATGCCGAGCTCCGTATGCCTGATATGACAATGTCTGGTACTACTATTCCCACCAAGTCTTTGCTCTGTATTTCCATAAGCAATATTCTTCAACAGGAAAATCATGTCCGATCCAACGAGAAAGCTGCTTCACAAAAATTCGAACTATTATCCCGTGCGAAAATCTACTTTACACCTCAACAACTTCTCATGATCTGCAAAGCACATATTACGGCCTATTTTAGAATACCGTTGTTACATATGAGGTTCATCACCCAAACATACGCTGATGCTCATAAATTCCATTCAGAGTTTCATTCAGCTGTAACGATAAATCACTTCCATCAGTTCCAACTGCTGCGCTCTCAAGCTAGTCTCATACAACGAACAACGATATGAAACTCTCACAAAGGTGATACGTGATGAAAAGAGATGTCTTTCTATCGGCATAATATGTTCATCCACTTGTTTCTTGCCCTGGCCTAGAAAAAAACTTACCCATAAACAGAAGACGGAATGGGTTGCGGTCCATCCTGGATTCCATTGTTGGGAAATGGCGCAGCGAACACATGAGATCGACTGGGGTTCTGGAGAAATACGTTGTATGCAGGATGGAATTGTTGTGTTGCTAACGACGAAGCCGTCTGGAGAATGAACATCGTGGCCACCAGTGCCAGCATCGTCATGATGATAAACTATCCTGAAATAATAGTAGATTGTTTTATTAGGATAAAAAATGACACTGTGTTTGACAAGCGAATTTTGCAATTGCGAGTCGGAGCGTCTAGCGAAGCCATACGAAAGCAAATATTGCTTTTTTTTGCAACCGAAAGAATTAACTCAAATAAATATGTGAAGTAACCACTAATGCCGTGCCATATGCAATGTAACAAATAATATCTGATGCACTAACAGATCAGGTTTATTCAATTTTCAAGGACGTTTGAGTTGTAGTTTCAATATAAATACAATCACAGAGTGACATATTTGTGTGTGGACCAGGTGCTCTAATAGCAAATTACGCGCCAGTGCCAGGTATAGGAAGAAGACGGGGAACATGTTAGGTTAGGGAGCATATCAACAATAATGATAGCGATTATTTATTATTTATTATATGTGAATCTTGAAGGCTTTCCTGATCAAAACAAAATACTCAATTATATTAAGGCGTATTTATATCTGAAGCATGGGTATGAAATGCCAAATCTGCCGAAATTGGAAACAAATCAGGTATGCGTCTCAACCCAAATAACCAACCGTATAACAATGTTGTTCAATCTTGATGACCTCTAGTACATCCTTTTTAGTTCCTAGGAGTTAAATTTCAACTCTAGGTCCTAGGAACCAAATGTGTTGCCTACCAACATACCGGTTCATGTTAGTAATAGCAACGTCAATTCAAGAGCTATTTTTTGTATCAGAATGGACTACTTTTGTGTCCGTTGCAGAAAAACCAACTTGCAATCATGTATCATGAAAGCAACAATGATATATGCATCTGGTAATTCTATCATGTGGAAAAATTGATAATTATTACAATTATTTCCATGTGCACTCCATATGAGTGAGTACATATATCAAGGGAGGAAAGGTATTCATTTTCTCCCATGTGTGAAGTTCGATGCACGACGCGTAGCGGAGGGGATTAAACACATATCGGAGGAAATAAACTTTTGCTTCCATGATATATATTTGATTTTATCAATTATCAACAAACGCATTTTTTCAAAGCATCAATCTCGAAATTGTGCTTCAGGCGGTCTATCCCTCGATCCGAATCATTATGCATTACAAATAAGGTATAGAATGCCATGGACAAATGTCGGCATTTGAACGAGTCAATTTGACACTTCTGTCATCATGAATCGATTGGTTTGTATATTGTGCAACTGCATTCGGAAGTTTCGATGTGATGTAGGTACGTTCAGAATATGAAGAAGCGTATGATATCATTGGATTTCAAATATGATATTATTGTTACTTGTTATACGACGCTATACCTATATAGTGAAGTATACTACGGCCAAAAATGCTATCTCGGAAAATAGACTGATAGCCCTGTGGATCATCGTATAAGAGGAACAATTTTAGTTTCATAATTCCAAATGGAAAGATCATGTGATACGTACATGGCGGAAATAAAAGACAGATAGTTTCTGTACGAGTAGCTGAATTCGAAAAAATATGTTGTTATCTTAGATTCCTCAATATCATGAGTGTTTTTCGAAGGTTTTCATCTTGACTCAAACAAGCTATTGACAACCTGCAGACATTGATCAGAATATCAAAACATTTGGAATAATATCGGTTTACTAATGATATTTAAATTTCAAAGCCTACCAAGTGTCGATATATCATCGAATTCATGTCACAGCCAACTTATTCTTTTCGAATAAAAAGCAATTCAACAGCGAATCGAGAAATAAATGCCACTTTGTGATACATGGTCGGATAGAGAATTTCAAGGCAAAAAAGATAAACTGAAGAAATGTACAGGATGACATTTGAAAAAAAAAGTTGGGGTCACTTCCGGTCAAACAGGTGGTTGAAAAAAATTGTCGTTGAGTTCGTAAAGTGCGCTACCATTTATTATATACCTCCTGTGTATTTCAAAATTTTATCCCTTCAAATAAAAAAACTACAGGCTGCTACATGTCTCCTGTGTCACCCGCTATATATCCAGGGTGGCATTGAAATAAGTGCAAATATTTCAAAAACTGAGAAAGCTTGACGTGTACTATCGAATGGCACTGATAAAGAAGTTCAGGGATCAAAATGAAATTTGAGGTTAGACCCCTTTTTCCACCCAAAGTTCTACACTGTAGCGAATCTCACGTCACCTCTATTTAAATTTCAATGATGCAGTAGGCAGATTCACGCGGATTTCAATCATTTGAATTGTTCTGAAGTGGCGTACTTTTCTCGAATTTTGTTAAATTTTTGGGATCAATTCTCGTTAATTGAGAGAATTTGAAAAAATCTGATATCATGAGAATATTCCTCAGACTGTATCATATTGATGTGCTGAATATGCGCACTTATTTCAAAAACACCTTGTATATGCATGATTTTATCAACGAACGCATTTTTTCAATGCATCATTCTTGAAATTGTGCTTTAGGCGTTCTATCTCTCGACACAAAATCATTATGCATTACTTACATTATGCATTACTTACAAATATAGTATTGATTCACAGATAAAGGCACAGGATTTTCCCAATCTGATATCGAATACTATGGATAGATAAAGCCAATGAATGGTTTTCAAAAAACAAACTGATATTGAATGAGCAAAAGACAAATGCAGTTCTGTTTACCACTACTCATCCCAGCTTTGATCCTTCAAATGAGATGAAATTGAAAAATTGTATTTTGCCTTTTACAGATACTACTACTTTTCTTGGACTCCATATTGATAGTACCTTATCATTTGTGCCACATGTTGATAATCTTATCAATAAGTTGAACTCTGTAATATACTCAATTAGAGTTATTATGGACTATGTAAATAAAGACATTTTTTGCAAATTTTGAAGCAGTAGTGAGATATGGAATTTCATTTTATGGTAGTTGTGGGGAGAAATCGAGTTTTTGTATCTCAAAAAAGGGCTTTGAGAGGAATGCTGAGGATGGAGATCAGAGAGTCTTGTAGAGGCAAATTCAGGGAATTTTCAATACTTACTGTTGTAGGTATATATATACAAGATGTATTGTTGTTCTTTTCCAACGCGATCACTTGAATATACTTATCCAAGGCATCGCCTAACTGCTTTTGAAAAAGGCCCTTTCTACAGAGGAATCAAATTTTACAACAAACTCCCAGATGACTTGAAAAAATTCAAGAAAGGGCTACATAAGCTATTGTTGGAATTGGAACCTTACACAATAAAAGAATATCTACATTCTTAGCCAGATTCTCTCGAAGCACGAAAAACTTTGACACTATTTTGTTTAAATCTGCCTTACCTGTGTTAAACATTTGTACTGTACGATTTTCTCAAAATAAAGAGTAATATTATTATTATTATCATCTGAATTTATGTAATTCCAGTCACGACCCTGCGGCCTCCGACGCCACGCAGAGTCGTGCTGGATAAAATCCAGTGACTACTCCCCACAGCCTGTGAGGTGAATATAATCACTGAGACCAAGAACCGTGTGCCCTGAGTGAACGCAATGATCCATGTATGACGGCCTTCTGCATTCCACCAGCCAGAATGTGTGCTTTATCACTGCACGCTGGGATTTTCTGGATTTCCGAGAGCAGCGTGTGTCGTGTGCCTCCTAGAGAGCCGATTATCAGGATGACCAATTCCATAGAATGGTCTGGATAGAGCCTGCGGAGTTCGAAGAGAAGATCTCGATATTTAGTCCGTTTCTCCTCCTCCTTCAAAACGATGTTCGGTTCGGCTGGCACCGAAAACTCGATCACGAACATCGCTTTGGTCTGATGGTCGAGGAGGACCACATCAGGCTTGTTAGCTTGTATTTGCCTGAGGGTGGGGAATGAGAAGTTCCAATAAATTCGGCACCTCTCATTCTCCACAACGGACTCAATATCCCCCGGAGCATAGGGCAGCACTGGGGTCTCGTCTATTCCGTACGAGTGCCTCAAGTGATGATAGAGCACTCGCAATGCCGCATTGTGTCTATAGGCCGAGACTGCATACACCGTGCAAGAAGACAGCAGGTGCATAATTGTCTCGGGCGCCCTGCGGCAGGCCCTGCAATTTGTGTCAGGGACCTCCATACCCATGACACGGCTACGGTAGACAAGAGTGTTTTGAAAACCCCATCCTGACATGCCATGATAAACCCCTCTGTTTCCGATTTAAGCCCGCCTGACTTGAGAAAAGCGAAAGTCAGTTATTTGGATAAGCCCCGGTCTTCAATGGTCTTAAAGTAGACCGAATGCATGGGCTTATCCATGTAAAGCTGCAGGAGCTTTCTCGCTTCTGCAGCTTTGATGCGGGCGCCCGCCCGCCTGCTCGGAGGAAATTTCCTCCGAGCAGGCTCTAGCTCAGTAACTGAGTCCTGAGCCCCGCGCTCGGAGTCGAAAATCAGAGACAATTCATCGGCTGCTCAACGTGCTGCCTATTATTATTATTATTATTATTAGTTTTTCATGGACAATTGACTGTATTTGAACGAAAGTCAATTTGACACTTCTGTCGTCATGAATTGATATTGATATTGTGTAACTGCATTTGAAAATTTTGATAAGAAGTGCATTCAGAATATGAAGGAGAGTATGATATCATTGGAATACAAAAAGGATATTATTGTTATTTGTTTCATATTAGTGATGAAGACACAATTAACGTATATCGACGCCAAAGGATGCATGCTGAAACAAATTCATTTTACCTCCCACGGGAGTTCATATTTTTCCCTCCCGTGTGGGAGTAAATTGACAACTTTGTTTCATTAAATGGAGGAGCAAACGCCTACTTTCGATTCAGTGAGTAGTTAAAATTCATTGATTCAGTCATTCATATCAGCCTCTGCTACTGAGGAAGCGAAAAACAAAAACGAAGACACCTCATAATACAGATACCAAGCATTAAATCAACAGCCGAAATTTAAATACGAAAACTTAATTGTTTTGATTATCATCATAAATATTCGAACTCATCAGAAACGTTTATTCTGGAATGAATGGAATAATTGTGCAAAATCAAGCT